GCTGTGCAGACCAGCATCCCGGGGCAGACTCCCGGCAGGCCTTGCCCTTGCTGCGGTTGTAAGATACCCAGTCACACCAGGCTCACCTCCTCCAGGAAGTCCTCGAGGCTTCTGCCTGGTTGATGTTGCTCTTCCTTTGCAACACTGGTATTTCAGAACTTTTTACCTCCTCTTATTTTTATTATTTTTGTCACTTTGATGAGATCTGGGTAACTTATTGTAAGCCCAAATTATTATCATGAAATAAAAGCTGCATGGCCTCCCGTTGAATGAGCCTGCTGAAACAGGCTTTGTGGCGCCGGCCCACGGACCTCTGACTGCCAGCATCTGCATCTCTTCGCCTGAGAGATTTCTCTGGCGGTCAGAGCCCGCCGCGAGTGAGCCCAGCAGGTCAGATGCTGGAAGGTATTGCTCTCCAGCCTTCAATGACTGCTGTGGGTTGGTGTTTAAATAGCACAGCTTCCTGTCCCGTGGGTCGGAAACTCTGAGGTGCCTGTCCTACACTGAACCCTAGAGTTCCTGAAAGCAGAGGATCATTGGGTCACTCACAGCAGAGACCAGATGCCCCCTTGAAAGTCTGCCTTCCCCTCCCTGTCTCACATCCGCATTCCCCTACCCGGGGTCCTGGGATCACCTCCCACATAAACTCCTGGAAAACGAATCCTCATCTAGGAAGGATGCCAATTCCAAACACTGGCAGTGTGGCAGGTTTTTGAGAAAGATGTCTCTCCTGGTGTAGAGAATGAGCTGGAAGGGGGATGCTGTGGGCCAGGAGATCAGCATGATGGGAGATACAGTCCTACGGAAGTAAAAGCAGAGACGGCTCTGTCTCAAAGGAGGACCAACATGTGCCGCAAAGCAAGACTCCCCGGAGAGATCTTTTTAACAATACTTCGGCATTGAGAAGCAGCCTCATGGAACGAGTCAGACTTGCTGAACTTCCTCGCACAGACTTTACGTTATAATATTATTGTTGCTGTTATTACTAAGAAAGCACTCAGAAAACATCCTGATGAGTGAATAAGCAAATGACTCTGAGGCTACTGGTTGGCTGGTGGCACCATTCCCTGAGAGAAGGACCAGAGGAGAAGGAGCAAGTCTGGAGGAAGGGGTGGGGCATCTCCTCTATGAAAATATCAGGTAACAGGGCATTCTGGGTCCTGCTTGGAACTAAGGGTGCTGGGCAGGCTTAGGCAGGGGAATAATCAGATTATCTCACAGTCATTATGGCACATGCTCCTGTCAATCTGAAGGAATCTAGCCGCAGGGCCAGAGTGGAACTGTGGAGCCCCTGCTGGGACAGATGATGACATTTTAGTTGTAGATTTAGGGGGAGAATGAGCGGGGCAGGGGAGCCAGGACACCAGGGGCTGGGGCAGTGGATATTCATCGGCAGGTCTCAGCTGCACTAGTGTACACAGCTTGAGTCAGAGCCCCGGGCTTGAAGGCAGAGAAACCAGATTGGAAGAGGCCACCCTGCAAGTCTAGAGAAAGGGCCCCCAGCTCATCTTGAGAGACATCCGGGGCAGGTCATAAGGACCGTCGCTACTTACTGGTTTCTTACTCAGGGTCACAAGCCCATTCCTAGAGCTTCCAACAAGTTAACTCAATGGAGAGCTGTTTCATTTACTACCTCTATGTTACAGATGAAGAAACTGCGCTGCAGCGAAGTGTTGAGTGTAGGGTATGATTTTCGGTAACTTGCCTATGATTACATGACTGGTAGGTGGCAGAGCCCAAATTCAAACCCAGACAAAGGCCTGTCTACATTCAACTGCCCTGTAAGTTCGAGTACGGATGGAAGGTAAAGGGGGAAATCAGCCAACGGAGATCAAAGAGCTCCGAGGACGTTCAGCGGTGTCTTGGTGACTCAGAAGCTCAAGGAATGACCGGAGAGGCACTCCTCCATCAAAGGGTTAGGCAAGAACTGCACACATACACTTGGCAAGGTCTTTGAGGATTTGGAGGAAGACATGGAATTTGAAACAATCTGTGGCAGAATGGGCTTGGTGGATTTGAAAAGTGGGGGCACCACTTATCTTGAAAGTGAGTTAGTCGCTCAGTCATGTCTGACTATTTGCAACCCCATGGACTGTAGCCCACCAGGCTCCTCTGTCCATGGGATTCTCCAGGCAAGAATGCTGGAGTGGGTTGTCATGTCCTTTTTCAAGGGATCTTCCTGCCCAGGGATCGAACCCAGGTCTCCCACATTGCAACCAGATTCTTTACTGTTTGAACTACTGGGGAAGCCAAATTTATCTTAGCATCTCCAAATTTAAACATGACTCTAGGTAAAAAAGCATTACTGAAAAATATCTCTGGATGGATAAATGAACAAACAAAAGGCCTGTTGGATCTTTCTCAAACATAAAACTAATCCCAAATCTCTTAAGTCTTCCGAAGGTGCTCTATCAGTAGCAGGATGAAGTCCACACACCTCACCCTAGAATTCAAGGCCAGGGTGCCATTTACCACCACATGCCCCACGCTCAGCCCTTTCCTGTGGTTGGGTGTCGGGATCTGTCTCTCTCTCTCTTTGGTCTTAACCTCCTGGGCTCTGGCTTCTGGTCACTGCAAACCTCCTTCACATGTTGCAGGAAGAAATGGTTCCTCCGCAAAAACCAACCTGGGTGGAGCTGCCAGTCGCAGTCATAGGCACACAACATGGGTGGGACTGAACAGAATTCTTTCTGGGGACTGATATAATTCCAGACGGGAGAGAGAGTCTTCTCTTTCCTCTGAGGCCACTCCCCGGGGTGCTGGGATAACGTAAGCCTTGAGCTGGGAACAGTCCCTGCCCCATGAAGGAATCTTGCTCTCACCATAAGAAGCAAGCCACACACAGAGAAAAGCAAAAGCAAGACAGACAGACAGACACACAGAAGAAAAAGCAGACTAAGTGACCACGTTGCTGGAGTCTCTTGGATTCCCTGTCTTTCTCCCTGGTTTCACAAGCCAATACATTCCATTTTGTTGGCTGTTCATTTTTTGGTTTATGCCTTTGACTTGTATTTCCTTCACTGATCAATACTCAGCTGTACTGGACTGCTGACACTGCCAGGCACCACGTGGCCACGTGCAGGGGCCGAGAGCTCGCCCCACACTTCCCGCTTCGCGCTCCGTCTCCTGCACCTGCCCGTCCTCGCCAGTCTCTCGGCTGCTCTTGTGAGTCTGTCTTCCCCTGGGACCCGCTGTGGGTGGATATGGGACAGCTGTTTCTGCCCTTCTGCCTCTGGACTGGGGACTGTGGATGCTGTTGGCTTCAGACCTTGAGAGTCCACAATACGGGTTCAGAGGAAGTACCCAAGACCTGTCACACCGCAAAGTCCAACAGCTGAGGGGTGTATTCCATGCCGTATCACGTCAGAGAGTGCGAGCCTGCTCCCCAGACTTGAAGGGTGCTCAGGGGTAAGGGGAAGGCTGGAGACCTCTCAATCTTCCGTTTTCCTTGGGTGACAAGATCCAGGTGTTAAAACACTGGGTGTTCAGGGGAGGAAGCACGATAAAAGGCTGGCAGGTTCAGAGGAGCAAGGGATATCACAGAGGAAGCAGAATGTGCACTGGTTGCTGGCTGGAGGGCCAGGTTAGACCTAGAGCACCTGAGGCTTTCCCCAGGTGAGGCAGGGCGTGGACAGCAGCCCCACACGGGGTCCGCATGGCTCACAGAAGGAGTCACGAGGGCCTCAGGCTGGTGGCCTTCGGCAAGCGACAGGAGACCCGATGTTCAGCGGAGGGCCCGGAGTGCTAGACCCAGGCTCTGACTGTCACTCTGAGTCCAGGGCTGGGGTTCATTCAAGGCGTCTGCTGGGAGGACAGCAGGCCACAGCCTCCTTCAGTACCCCAAGAGGACTGAGGAGCCAGGGCATGGATGTCAACCTCCTCGCTGGGGTCAGCACTCCCTGAGCCCACCCCGTCCCGTCTGCGGCCCAGGACCTCGGCGGGCCCCGGCTCGGGGGGGGGACGGCACCCTCACTTCACGACCTCCCACCTCCCACTGCCCTCCTGCCTCAGCTGCTGTGCCCGCCAGGCACCCCACCGCCCGCCCGTCCCTGGGTGGGGCTCTGGGTCCTCGGCGGCCCGCCTCTGGGTCTTTCCAACCTACACGTGTCTTCCGCCCACCACTCCTCCATGGAGGAGGCCTCTAAGTGGAGGTCCCCAGCTATCTGCTTTTTTCTGCTGCTCCTCCACCTCCTTCCTACCTCAAGGACCGTTAGGGTGGATTCACTTTGGTGAGTTTCTGGGCCGGCCTGGCTGAACGGGAGGGAATTTCCTGGCATGCTGCTTGCCTGGCGATTCTGTGTCTCCTGCAGCATCAAGCCAAGAGCCAGAGAGTCACAGCCTAGGAGCTGAGAGGGAGCGCAAAGGCAGCCTCGTGTAGTTGCCCCTTGAAACGATCCTGGGCACTGGAGTGAGACGGACCCTGGGCCTGAAACCAGCCCCACCACTCAGCAGCCTCGCGACCTGAAACAAGTGGCTTCTTGAGCCTCAACTTTTTAATTTTGTTTTCATTTGTAAGGCAGAGATAAAAATACTTACCTTGCAGGTTATTGGGAAAGATAAGTGGGACTTATGTAAGTCTGATATTTAGAACTGAGAGCTGATATTACTTATTTGATCTCAACCTCCTTGAGAGAAAAAGGCAGCTCTGCCCAGATCATGTGCTGAGATACAGCTGATCCTTTTGTCACACTGGGCCTCTTGCGCGTGCCCCATGCTGCCCTCGCCGAGGGGAAGACAACACACAGGAGCAGAAGAGGATGATGGGAAAATCTTCCCGTTTTCGGATCATCTCCTGGGGGGACACACAAGTGGCAGTGACAGGGTTAGCAATCCTGCCTGAGGGCCACTTCCACATCAGTGATGAGGAATAAAGGAGCGGAGGGGGAAAAGTCAAACAGAAGAAAGCGCCTGGAAAAGATGTTTTTATGTTCACTTATTACATGGGAAAAAAAGAGCCAACAGAATGCCAAGGCCTTTGTTTTTAACCTGCTCTTTTTTTAAACTTGCTCTTAACCATGTTGGGATGTGTTTACACTGCATGGGGTTTCCTGCAGAATCTAGCACCAATAGATGGATCAGATTTTGTCTTTGATCTGAGTCCTTTATGTCTTCAGTTTTGAGTGTATTGAGGTATGTTTTCTTTGGTTGCTGTTGTGACGAATGTGTAATAAAAAACTAATATTTACAACGCTTAAACATTTTAGATTTCAGTGTCAACTCTTCACATAAAAAAATTGGAAAACTCTTAAGAAGCATGGGAGGGTTGTTACTTCCTCGCATCTGTCATGAAACTGTTTTCGATACACAGCACAATTAGCCGGTTAGCACAGCTGTATGCTTTCTGGTCCAGAATCTTCCCCGTGTTCAGCGGGGAGGCCAGGCCCATGACTGCCATGTCGGCGGTTCTCCACGCTTCACAGTACTGGTCCACAAGACGGACTCCGTGGGTGCTGGAGCCGTGCCAGACGACCTTCTGGGGCCTACAAAGGAAGTTTGTTGTGTTACTTTTTGAAATGACCCTTCTTTGTGGCATATCTTGGCAAGGAAATCAGCCTAAGTCTAGCGAGGTAAGCCAAACTCCTGAACTCTCCGCACATCACTTTTCTGTCTTTCTGTCTATCACTGTTTCCAACTTTCTGAACACACTACATTCCGACCATATCGTTTCTACCTGCTCTGAAATCCTACCCTCTACTTCTGTGAATTTGAGCCTTTGATGAGTCCCCTTAGTCTAGAATGGCCTCACTTCCACTTTCAGCGATTCCGTGTCATCTTTCAAAGTCCATTAAATGACCCAACTTACAGGAAGCCTTCCTTCTTCTCACTGCTAAGGAATGATGACTATTTCCTCTGTGCGCCTACCATCTTAGCTGTTTCTTCATTTTCCAATGACAATATCATGTCTAGAATGGTAGCTAGTCTGTGTCTGTCTTCCCACAGACTATAAGCTTTGAAAAGGGAGGAGCTGTGTATGCAGGTTTATTACTGTGCCTTCCAGGCCTGACATCAGGCCTGGCATACAGTAGACAATGAGGAAAGATTTACTGAGTTGTTGTTTTCTTAAAAGCATTTCAAAGAATTAGAGTGCAACTCACAGGAGAGGGTTAAAGAATCACCAACAATAGCATTACTTACCACTAATTAAGTGCCTACTGTATACTAGATATTCTCACACTTACCTTTTTATTCTCACAGCATTATTATGGTATGGATATGATTATTCTGCCCATTTGACAAGTGAGGCAGCTGAAGCTCAAAGAGTGGAAGTGCCTTACCCAAGGTCCCATACGAACTTACTGGACCCAGGCTCTCTCCAAGGCCTCTGGCTGCCTCACTGGGGTTTTCTCCTGGCAACACCTCAGAGGAGTAGCTGATAAGGGCAGCCCATTGTTAGACTGTTTCCTAAAGCTATCTATCATATGATATACTTCAAAGGCTTCAACCTCTACTTACCAGGAAGGATCTGTCATTACATCTCGGCCATCAAAGGAATATATTGGAACGTGTGTATTGAACTGACCTCCGTGGCCAGAAAAAATTGAGTCCCAATTATTAAAAAGTACTTGGCCCTGTGGAGACAAAAATGCTACATTAGAATCATTATACAAACAGCGTACAAGTATTTATCAGTGGGAGACCTGGGTTCAGTCTCCGGGCTGGGCATGGCCACCCACTCCAGGAGTCTTGCCTGCAGAATCCCCGTGGACAGAGGAGCCTGCAGGCTACAGTCCACGGGGTCACAAAGAGCTGGACATGACTAAGCACAGCACCAGCGGGTGATGTGGAGACGAACCTCTCACTCCTCCTCCTTCAGTTATTTATAGCCTAAGAATACAGACAATCTGAGTGGGTGAAATGGTAGAACAGACCCTTGGAAGAGGGGATAGGAAGTGCTGTGTGTGGGGTCAGGATGAACTTGCCAGGCTCAAGCTTCCAGGTTGGAGTACTGGGATCACAGGGATCAAAGGGTCTCAAAGTACCTTTAAGATCTGGTTAGGAGTCAGGACCCAGGATATGTGTGAGCAGCAATAAAGCTGCTCTTCTGTAGCCTTAAAGAAGTAGGCTATTTCCATTGTGTAATGGAGGGTGCAGGGAGGCCCCGCCTTGCCAGTGAACACGGGCACAGAAATACCCAAGGGAAGCAGGCCAGGGCACAGGACAGTGGTTCTGTGCCACTCAGGCAGTTCTCTCCAGAAGGCGCCCTTGGGTGGAACAAGAGCCCTGGACGTGCGGATCAAGGACACCAATTCCAGTTTATAGTTACTCTGAGTGAACTGTTTCTCCCTGTAAGCCTCAGTTTCCTAACAAACTGAGAAAAGAATAAGTCCCATTTTTATCGGAAGTATCTATTAGAACAGATATGAAGTGCTTTATAAACAAACAGGAAAGCTATATGAGTGAAAGAGGTTATTACTATCCCTCCTGTTTGCTCCAAGGGTCACAAACTATCTAAGCAGGAAGGGCTATTGCAAATATAAGGGGACTGAGCCCCAGAGAGGGAAGGTAACCCACCCAAAGTCACACAACTAATCAGGGCCTCGAAATAGCACACTTCTGAAAGTGTTAGGAGTGGCAACTGCCTTATAGTCCCTGTGGAGATGGGAACCATATTTAGTTTTACCTTGAGGTTCACTATTGGAAGGCTATATCTCTCTGCTTTCCTTACAACTGTGGAGAGATCTTGCAAATGGGAGGATAAGAATGCTCGGTAGGTAGACAACAGTCCTGCAGCCCTGGCCTGCTGGAAGCACTGGAAATCAGCTCGAATGTCCCCAGAAAACGGCGTGTTCAGAGCAACCAAGTGTAGCTGCAAAAAGTGAGAGAAAAGACAGCGCAGTTGGAGAAGTGATACAAACTCCAACTCCCATAACCATCACATGTTGCTAATAAGATCCCAGACTTGCTGCATTGGAAGGCACGCTAGAGGTCACCTTATTCATCCTCTACCTGACACTGGGTTCTCAGCCCAGGTGTGACCATCTCCAGTGAAGGAGAGACCCGGCCTCCCAAAGCAGTCTGGTTCAGCAATCTGAACTGCTCTAACTAGTAGACACTTCTTATGAAATGTATGAGAAAAACAAACTAAAGCACTTCAGAGATCTGAATTCAGCCTGCAGGCAGGCCATCTGTTGGAGACTTCTGGGTCTGCCCTTCGTTGAGTTTCTAGGAGCTTTTTAAGCTGGCTTTGGTCCTAGATCTCAGAGGTGCATCAAACTATCTGCCTCTTGCCCTTTCTCCCACCTCCTGAGTAGGTCTGGGGCTGATCCTGGGGGACCAGAGGAAAAAGGCATTGAAAGGAGAAGGCCGTGACATTTATTATGAAGACTGTTGGGACAGACTCTTAGAAACCAGGGATCACACAATAATTCTAGCCTCACATTCCTGACACCTTGGTCAGTAGCCCAGATAAAAGCCATTCTGTGATCTTCTTCCTCCACACTTTCTCTCCCCAAACCCAGCCTTCTTTCCCAGCCCTTTCTGCTGTAGCCTCTGAATTACATTTCATAATCAAAGAGCAGTCATCCCCCTCCTCAACCTCATGTCAGAAGTAATTTTTATCTCATTAGCATAGAGCTGGGGAAGCACAGAGCTGGTGCAGGACCTGGGCCCAAGTCTCCAGGAAAGAACAATATCTTAAACCCATCTTCCTCTTCTTATATGTCTGAAGACCGTGGCACATGAGGGAAGAGACCCTCTGGACTCATCACCCTCCAGCCGCTGTGCCTCTGGGGACTATACCTAAGGGCGGTCACAAGAGGCTCCACGAGAACGCGCTTTCCTAGCAGACACCTAGGAAAGGAGCGGCGGTGAGAGGGGGCTTCCCTGCCACACCTCTAACCCCATCACTACCACGTCCCCCTCTTTAAGGAGACGCAGAAAAAGGTCTGGAGCCATGGCTGCTTCTGAATGGTGGGATTGGGGGCTTTTGTGTTCTCACGTTCCGGAATCTTTAACTGCTGGACCATTTCTATAATGAACAGCTATCATTTTTATGAAGACAATGACATTTCAACAATCAAATGTTAAAATAGTTATTTTGTGGATAGTTACAGTTTTGTAAAATTATGTGATTATTTTCTTCTCCATTGTTTTTATTCATTGTCTAGACTATCTAAAATGGATATGTATTACTTCAGAATTTACAACACACTATTTAAAAACTTTTTGTAGCTACTGCCCTTATGTCTCCCCACATTGCTAAGCTTTTTGAGGGGTAACCTATACTTGCTTCTCTGTTTCCTCACCCCCCCACCTACTCTGCCACTACCTAGAATCTTGCTGGCATCCCTCCATGCTGCAGAAATGCTTTCCCCTAGTTTCTCAATTTGAACACCTTTTAGCTCTTTCCAGGGGCCTCCTGGAAGCATTTGACATTGTCGGCTTCTACCTTGCTTGGCATTCTTTCCTCTCTGGCAGTAGCGTCTCAGTTTCCTTCTCATATTTCTCTGGTCAGTGCATTTTATGTTTGCCCCTCACAGTCCAGTCTCTCCTCACCATATCGATTCTCTTTTAGGAATCCTTCCATCCCCAAGACAACAGCCATGGCTTTACTAAGACTCCCAAGTCTGCATTTCCAGACTAGACCCACTGCAGGGTTGCAGACTCTCCGATGCTGCTTCCTCCTGGGGGTCTCCACTCAGGCGTCCTACAGGTCCTGCAGACTCACCGTGCCCCACAGGCTCTCCTGCTGGGCAGAGGGAAGTGTGTTCCCAGAGCCCGCCAAGTTCGTGCCTTGTGCTCTGAAGAGTGTCCCCGCAATATTTGGTAAAGAGGGGCCTTAGGCCATGCCATTTCATTCTCCTGGCTGCTCTCGATTTGGCTGGGAGGGAGTCTGAGCCATGTGGACTGCCTCTCCCAAGACTCTGCGTGGAGCCAGGTAGTACTGGGCCCTGCAGCTGAAGATCACATAGAGCTGGGGCCAGGATCAGTGCCATGGCAACCCTAAGCTGTGTGCAAGTTTTGCAGAGGCAACCTATGTCTGTGTCCTTGGGTGGGGTGGAGAGGAGGCAGGAGGAGAGACGTTTGCAGAGGCTGGTCTGTAGAGACGGTGGGACAGACTCAACAGGGACGAGAGTCCCCAGGCCTTGTTGTGCTTCCTACAGTTGAGGTTCCGGCAATTATCTAAACAAACTGCACACCAAGCATGGGGCCTGGCCCACGGCAGACATACTTCTGGCGCTTCTAGAGTGAACACATGAACGGTACTTACTGCAGGTCTGCCGTAATTGACATTTGAAATAGATGTCAGCGAAAGATGAGGCTGATGAGGCTGTCGGGTAAAAAAAGAAAACAAACATCCTGAACGTGCATTCACGCTGCTCTTCACTGTACATCAAGGCACAAGTGCACTGTTTCCTGAAAAGCTGTCTTAAACAGTTTGTCATGGTCTTTGGACCACACTTAACTGAAGAATTTCATGCATGAATGAAAAATGATCCTCAGAAAGGGAGCAATATTCTCAAGACTTTTAGAACAGAGCGCTGAACCAAAAAGCAGAATTCCCATGTTTTACAAAAAACTCATCCACTTCATAGAGCAAGGCAGCTCTTCAGAGCCTCAGTTTCCTCACGTGCAGAGTGGGAGTGATAGTACCCACCTGAAAGCGTAGCTGTAAGGTTAAAACAGTGGACGATGCAAGTTGTTAATGTTCTAATCAGGTAAGGAAGTCTCAGCATCAAATATTAAAGGGTCCTTCTAGATTGCTTACGCCAACCATGTTTTCACAGCTCAGTAAACTGACGCCAAGGGGAGGGGAGTCCCTTGCCACAGAGGATTCAGCTGTGACACAGCAATGGCGGGTCTCCAGCCTCTGGGTCCAGCGCCACCTCCTCCACCCCTACCACCCCCCGCCCCCGCCGTCCAGTGTGAGAACGTTCTTTTGGCACTTGGTAATTTCTGGGCCTCTGCCAGATAGTGAGCCCTGCAGGGCTGGCTGTCCGGAGTCAGAGAGCTTGATGCTGGATGCCAAGGGGATGCAGTCAGTGCTGATGAATGAAGGAGCTAGAAGTAAGGCGGGGAGAGCACTCACATTGCTGGAAAGCGCAGGGGGAGGAGGGCTGTCGTCCGGAATGGGAATCAGTTCTCCCAGCTTTAAGGAAAAGAGGATGTTGAAAATGAAACATCAACTGGAAACTGTTTGTGCATTTTCAAATCAGAAAAATGGCATTTATAGGAGTAGACTGTGATTTTTAGAGGGTACTTGGAGACAGTCAGTTAAAAAAGGGGTTTAAGAATTACCTGTAATTTTTTCCAACCATCTCTGACCCGAATGAAAAAGTCGGTGCTGTCCTTCAGGTAGATGAAAGTCCCTTCTATGACCAAATGTGCTTTCTGTAACATGTCATCCATATTGCTAAACGTTGTAACCTGTTAGGTGATTTTAAATACCAAACACCGCGGTTACCAATAGAGCAATGGTGCGATTTGGAAGCCCAGCCTCTTTGCAAAGTCACACATGAGCCATCCCCTCCCAGTCAATGAAAAGGTTATTGTGCCCCAGAGATATATAACGTCATCAATAACCAAAGGACTCTCCTTTTGATCAAACAAAAACATTCATTACCTTGAAATGTAAATCTCATTTACAATAAAAAAATTAAACAAAGAAGATAATATCCTGTGAGCTTGAAGACACTTAAAAACTGTCAGTAGAGCTGGCTCTGTTGGGCATTGGTAAAATCATGGGCAGGTTTTGCTGCTTCCATTGGCATGAGCTGCGCCATTGTTGCCTGTGTTATGTTAGCTCATGTGCTCCTTACAGGGTTTCCAAAGTGTTTTCATTTGGATTAAGAAATATAAACAAGACAGTGACTCTACCTGGGTCCTGAACCTTTTCTTTTGCCTGGCTGAGTAGTTCCAATAATAAATAAATAGAAGAAAATAGAGGTCTATAATTTCTCTGTCTAGACAATTGCCAAAGCTTAGAAAATCATCTTGGCCTCTCTAGGCACAGACATAAAAGCGGGAGAAATCTATCAAGTCTCAGAGAAATACCAGACAAGGAAACTCTTATTATTCTTTTCAACTGAGAAAGAATATAAAAACTTAATTTTTGCCTAGCTTTGAAGATAATGACTTTGTGCATTAAAATGACCCAGACATCCCCCAAAGGCACCAAATATCAAAATTTCATCAACTGTTGGACAGTTTTTCATCTGGCAGCCCAAATTTCCAGCTAAAATCTATCAGAGACCAGTGTACATTGCTAGGACTTCTGACATCCTACTGCGGCATTTGTTCCCCTTTCTGTGCCTCACAACAGTCTCCATGTGTCATACAGAGTAAGGCGATCCGCAGGGTAACGAAGGTACGAGAGACAGTCTTCGGTAAGTGCAGACTGCCGCGTCACCCGGGGAAATGTGGTCAGCACAAGGTCTCCTGTAACGCTGCTTACACTCTCATGCTTGTGTTTTTTGATGTAATGCAACTGGCTCTTGTGGAACCTAAATCATAAATGATTTTGTCGTCTGCATCTTTTTACTTACTGAGTCACCCAAAGAGATAATATCCTGTTTGTGGAATTATACCAATTCTGTTGTCATGGAGGCCCAACTCCACCAGAGAAGGTGTGCCAGCCCCTAAACATTGCAGCCACAGTTCTAAACAAACTCATCCAAAGCAGAAGGATGAAGACTCCCTGATGATAATACTGACCAGGTTTCTGGATCCGGGAAGCCCTGGTTGTCCTGGAGGGCCAGGTGGGCCTGGAAGGGCCACAGCTATGAAAAAGCAGGAAAGAGAAGTTACAGAAAAGCATACTGTCTGCAAAATGCCTCTGATGTTAGCCAATTACTGAGAGAGTGTTCAGCACCTAGCTCACAACCCTGCAAACGTTGCACCTTGGAACTGAATCTTAGGAGCTCTGTGCCCAGCTTATGACTCAGCCACATTTGGCTGGCTTAGGGGAGAGCTGAGATTCTTAACTGTAGCCCTGAATGAGGTCATGCCTAAGACTTTCCAGTTTTGTAAGTGAATACATTTCTTCTGTTTCTGTTGTTTGTATAAGTCAGTCTGAGTTGAGTTTTCTGTCACTTGCATCCCCAAATGCCCTGATTCATACAACTTACTTGTCCCAAGAAACAAACAGGTAATTACTGAACAGAGGAAGAAGACTCAGAAAAAAGAAAAGGTGCCAAGCTACAGGAAGGCAGGGTAGGGCCCTTGCCTTCCAGCCAGGAGACTGAAGATCCTGATTTGTTGATTCTGAGCTGTGTGAGCTTGGGGAAGTAACAAGCTCTCTGAACCCCAGCTTCATCAGTGAAATATAAACAGATATTTCTTCTTCACTAGCCTATGCTGAGAACTGAGAAAAATACAAACTAGGAATGTGCTTTGCAAACTGTATAGTATCCAGCCAGAGATTCTTAGCTTTTGAAAAGTCAAAGTGCCCTTAAAAATCAGATCAAGGCCCTCTCCCCTAGGACAGAGATACACACACACACACCTTTCTACTTAGAATGTTAGTGGGATGATAGCTCCCTGAGGCACATCCTTGAATTTCCTAGGAGCTTACGGTTCCCAAATGAATGGCTCTTATTTTAGGCAAACACAAATATCATTACAGCTATTTTGCTGTTCTCCTTCTATCTTTCTAACCTCTTGTCGCCTCTCAAAAGCTGCAAAACTCTTGGCAGGGTTAAGGATATTTGTACAAGTCCCAGTAAAACTTGGGGCTTCCCAGGTGGCGCTAGTGCTAAATAACCTGCTTGCCAATGCAGAAGCTAAGAGATGCAGGTTCAGTTCATCCCCGGGTCGGGAAGATCCCCTGGAGGACGGCATGGCAACCCACTCCAGTGTTCTTGCCTGGAGAGTCCGTACGGACAGGGGAGCCTGGCGGGCTACAGTCCACGGGGTCGCAAAGGCAGACAGGACTGAAGCGACGTAATACAGCAAAGTGAACTACTGCATGAGATTTTTCGGGTTGTGCACACCAGCCTGCAATTCTGACACAGGACCTGCACAGTCACACACAGGTGGTGAATGTCTCTAGTGGAAAGAGGGTCTGAGGACTTGATCTGGACCCCAGCCATGCCTCTCCCTAGCATCTGTGACCTTGAGTTAGTCTCTCAAGCTCTCTGAGCTTTGGTGCCTTCATCCATAAGATGAGTTTTATAATCTTATCCATTTCACCTTCTTCCTGGGGTTGCTGTGAAGACAAAATGGGATAATGGATACGGGAGTGTTTTGTAAACTGTGAACCGTCATATACTGTGTGAAGAGTAACTCTTTCCAAAGGAGCAAGGAGTCCTGGGGTCCCGAGTTTAGGGTTACTGTGGACAAGAGTCTCTGCATCCTGCACTCACCCTGCGATGTCCTGCCACCTCTTGCAATTCCCATCTATCCCTCAAGGTTGTCTGGGCACCTATGGGACCAGCACCCCTGCCTGCTCCCGAGACCTCCCCCTTCACCTCTAGGACCGTTCAGGTCCAGAAGGAGCTGCCATGTTCTCATGTGATCCCACCTCCTGGCCACAGGGGACTGGTCCAACGTTGGGCATCTGGCCCAGGACAGGTCAGTCAGCATCTGTCCCCACAACATCCCCATGCCAAGGCTTTTCAAATGAAAGCTGAGAAAGAAGGCCAAGATCTGTAGATGACAGTGGAAGTTGTAGGTTGTCGGTATTTCCCACCATGCAGAGGATGTGGTCTGTGGTGAAGAAGCATGAAGCTGTGCTCAGAGAGAAGCTTAGCAACAGACAGAGAATCCTCACAGCAACTGAATCCCTGGTCCTGGCTGTATCCGAAGTCTCACTGCATGCCTGCCCCTCCGCAAACTGACTGTTCACCCCTCCTTCACATGCAGTAAGCTTCCCTGTTACTTGAACTAGTTTGAGTTCCATTTCTGTCGCTTGCCCCAGCCAATCCTGTGTAAAGTTCTCCCAGATGCCCCAGACACGGCAGGGCTCTTCCCAGTCGTGTTTCCGCCACGCCCGGCTCATGCCGACCCAAGTGACAAAACACGAGGTATTCATGCTATTCCTGCCGCTGCTGTTGTTTCCACCACGAGCACAGTGGAGAATGTCGGCTTCAGAGCGACTCTGACCTGGGTCCTGATCTGGTGCCACTTACTGGCTCTGTGACCTTAGAAAGGTTCCTAAACATCTCTGGGCCTCACTTTCTCCATCTATAAAATGGGGATGCTAATACTTTCCTTGAAAGGCTTTGTAGGAATCCATAAAATAATGTAGGAGAGTGACTAGCAGATAGCCTGGCACTTGGTAAGTATTCAATAAATGGAGATTTTCTTCTATTTCACACATTTTTCATTTGAGGAAGTGAGGTACCAAGGGGTAAAAAATTTTTTTACATAAGGGTTAGACTCAGTGCTGGTCCTCAAGTCCCTTTAGGCCCAGGCATTGACAAAGCAGCCAAGAAGTTTCCACCCACACATGAAAAGATGTCCAACATTATCAGTCTTCAGGGAAATGCAAAGTAAAACCATGATGAGATATCACTTCACAAGAATGAATGATGGCTACAATAAAAAAGATATAATAATAACAAATGATGATGACAACAAGGAGAAATTGTAACCTTTGTACACTGCTAGTGGGAATGCAAAATGTTACAGTCACTTTCGCAAACAGTCTGGCAGTTCCTCCAAGGGTTAAATACAGAGTAATCACATATATTGGGGTCCCCCCGTGGCTCAGAAGGCAAAGCGTCTGCCCGCAATGCAGGAGACCCGGGTTCGATCTCTGAGTCAGGAAGATCCCCTGGAGAAGGAAATGGCAACCGACTCCAGTACTCTTGCCTAGAAAATTCCATGGATGGAGGAGCCTGGTGGGCTACAGTAGTCCATGGGGTCGCAAAGAGTCAGACATGACTGAGCGACTTCACCTTCACCTTCAATCACATGTATGACCCAGCAATTCTACTCCTAGGTATAAACCCAAGAGAACTGAAGACTTATGTTCACATAAAAACCTGTATATAAAAGTTCACTGCAGCATTACACATAGTAGCCAAAAAAGTGCAAATAACTTAAATGTCCATCAGCTGATGAATGAACAAACAAAATGATACATGCTACACATGGGGGAACCCTGAAAACATTATGGTAAGTGAAAGAAGCCAAAGGTCACATACTGTGTGATTCCTCTGGTATGAAATGTCCAGAATAGGCAAACCCATAGAGACAGAAAGTAGATCAGTGGTTTCCAAGATCAGGGAAAGATCAAGGTTTGAAAAGAGGAGTGACTACTAATTGGTACAGGATTTCTATTTGAGATGATGAAAATGTCCTGAGTTAGGGAGAGGTGAAGGCTGCATAGCCTTGTGAATATATTAAAAACCATTCAGTTGTCCACTTCAGTGAGGGAATTCTTTGGCATGCAAATGATATCTCAGTTTAAAACAAAAGAAAAGAAAGAAGGCTCAATCCAGGAAACAGCCTCCGTCAGACAGTGTGGCTCCGACACGCCACCCAGAAGCGGTGGCTCACGTACTGACCTGCTCCCAGGATAGCTGGAGGGCCTGGTGGTCCCGGGGGTCCTGGTGGCCCAGGGGAACCAGGTCTCCCAAAGCCGGGTGGCCCAGGCAGGCCAGGAGCACCTGGGGGTCCCTGGGGCCCGACAACGGCTTCCCCTTTCTGGCCCTGCATGGTAACAGAAGAAAAGCACTATCAGTCACTAGAAGCCTGGTCTTTTTGGCAGGACATTGGTAAGAAGTCTGTAAACTCCCGCTACTGTTATCTTCGTCCTCAATCCTGGGCACAAGCTAGGTGGTGGAAGGCTTAAAGAGCAGAGGCCTAGTCGTTTTGTTGAATGACAGGAGAGAAGCCCAGGGAGCCCTGGACTTACAAGGTCCACTGGAGGTCATCTAGTTCAGCCTTGGCATTTCACAGATGGAGAAACAGAGGCCCAGAGAGGGGTAGGGCTTGGCCAAGGTCTCAGAGCAAATTGGCAGCACAGCTGGGGGGAGAATCCTGGCCTCCTGGCTTGCTTTGTCTTGCCCATAGCGAGTTCCAGGCCCCTGACGGTCAATGATCTCGTCATAATCTCACTGGAGACATAAACTGAATTTTTTCTTGTGCCCTGGAGAAGCTTCTCATCCTAAGAAGACCAAGCTGACTTAGGGGCTCCTTGTTTGATGAAATTCCAGAAGAATCAAATAGCCACTCTAAAAATATCTTCCTCACCTTTGCTTCTGCCTCTATCATCTGACGTGTCTACAATTAACAACTCTTTGCCTTGAGCAGATTTTCCACCACGGTGTGAATAAGGCAAGGCAGCAAGTGACATGGAAGCTACCTGCATACACAAGGCCTTGGCCAGCTCCCTTTCCTCCGTGGCCTCGGCCAGGCTCCCCACCGGTTAGCAAGTGTCGGGGAGAGAGGCTGACACCCAAGGCCTGCCTCTAGCCTGTGGCTGGCCCTTGCTTCCCAGCTGCCTAGTCACACTGGGGGGTTTCCAGGAACTCCAGGATTCACGGAGGAAGGGGACGCAGAGGGGCCACTACTCACCAGCACACCTGGGCTGCCTGGCAGGCCCGGAGGCCCTGACACAGGGAAGCCAGGGAAGCCACTGTTGGAGTCTCCTTTTTCTCCTTTGATTCCCCTGTCGCCGTTTTCCCCCTGGAAGATCATTCAGAGAACACTCAGAAAGAGTCGGATGAGCCAGCCTCTGACTTAAGCCTGAGCACTTGGGAACGCAGGCCGAAGGTTCAGAAGGCTCACCTTCCAGCTGCTCAGAAAGTGCCTCAGGTAAGCTGGATCCACAGGAGGGCCTGAAAGAGAAACGCTTCCTAAAATCCGCAATCAGTCTCAGAGATTCAAACACCAAAGTGTCTAGGCACATGATGAGTACCTAGCCGAAATGACCTCATGTTGGTTTAGCTGGTAGAGGGGACACAGCTTGGAAACGAGCCCCAGTCCAGGATCTGTGACCCTGTGGGATCCCGGGCTCTTCCCTGGTCCTCTCTGGGGCTTGTTCTGCATATGAAGCTGGGATGATGGGAACTTCTGGTTTCTCCTGACAATGTCCCACCTTGAGCAAGCATCACCCATGGCTGGGTTTCTCTGGAATTTCACGGCGCTTGCAGGCAGGGCGGTAATGTAATTAGCCTCACTTACCGGCTCTGTTGGCTTTCTCAAGAACAAAAATCAAGGGCGATAGCCAGAAGAAGAGGTGGGATACCTGGTGGTCCCTGGGGCCCCGGGTCGCCTTTTTCTCCTTTTGAGCCAGGAAGGCCCCAGGATCCTTTTTCTCCTTTAACACCTGCCACCAAATACACACATATTAAAAAAAAAAAAAAAAATAGTGGAAAAACACCTTCATTCTATATAAGACATTTTTGAGACAGGTTTTGAAATGGAGCCTCTTAAGTCCAATCAACAAACAAAAGCCTGTTGAGGGTATAAAATCCTTTGCTGTAGGATGGAGAGGCAGAGGTAGGCGCAGTAGACACAGTTCCTGACCTGGGAAGCTCTCGGGGAGACAGACACGGTCAGGGTGGCAGCAGGCAGGATGCAGTACGCACCATCATCAAGGTGCCAGCAGCGCGTCAGGGGGGGAAACAGAGGCCACAGTGAGCCCCCTCGGATGGCCTCATGCACGCGGACTGAGCCTCGACACCCAGTCAAGCGCTCGGCCCGCATCACCGAAGCCTGGGCAGCTCAGCGGTGTAAGGGGGAGGGAGCAAGGTCCCAGGAGTGCCGCGGAGGACAGCCAGGGTGCTAAGGACTCCGCTCACAGCTGGAAGAAGGCCACCAGTGCCTATCCCACTTCCCAGAGGGCTTGTGAGAAGCACTGCTTCTGCAGAACCAGCCTGAGAGCCTTCCCCCCTCCCCAGATCTTTATCTTGGAGACGGGCTCAGAGGGAGCCTCCTGGGACCGCGGCGTTGGGCAAAGGAGGCAGTGCTGTTTCCCTGCCTGGATGAGTGGGTGGAAACCAGAGCTTTGAGCTGGTTCCCGGGAGGGGATGACCAGTGTGCGCCCGCACAGCGGATCCGACAAAAACTAACCCAGTGCCACCTGCTCCTCCCAAGGTCAACCTGGCACCAGAGGAAGGGAGAACCTTGAACTGGATCTGAACAAGAAGTCTCAAACATCCTGGATTTTGTGACCAAATGGGACCAAAACCCTGTGACGCTCGACCCCATCAGGGGGACCACCGCCTGCAGGCCCGGGTGACAGAGCCGAGCCAGAGGTCAGGATCAGGGAAAAATGCGCCTTTCCCTGTTTAAACCGCAAGTGTCCAGACTCCTCAATCAAACAGGCACCCGTGGTGGGACAGCGTGTGGGGACAGAGGACCAGAGTCACTGCTCGCCCGCAGGCTCCCGTCTCCTGGCCTGTCTCCTGTCTGACGCACGGTACATAAGCTCCCACCGGCCGCAAACATGCTGATGTTTATGCACCACTCAGAGCCAGCGTGTCTCACAACGCGCTGTGTGTGCACACACCTCAGAGGGAGCTTGTGAAAATGCAGCTTCTGACCCGGCAGGTCTATGATGAGGCCCAGGGGTCTCCATTCCTAACAAGCTCCAAGAGCGCTGATGCTGCCGGTCCAGAAACGCTCTCAGGCAAAGGCCTTCTGAGCCGCCAGGGCCTCCCTGCCTTAGCTCTCGGTGCTCTGAACTGTGATGACTTCTTAAATGGTTTCGCCCAGCAGAGTCTAAGGGGCTGAGTGGCAAGAAGAGCCTGGGACCCATCTGTCTCACCCCAGTGAATGGGACAGCACCGGGCGAGGAGAAGCTATCAGTGGATGCATCATGAACAAACTAACACATGAATGGAAAAATGGAGTGCTGGCTACTAGCTAGGAGGAATATTCTCAGACAAGATGCATCAAATAGGCAGCTGAAGCAAACAGAGGTGCTTCACAAGCAAATACACAAGCACACAGAGGTGCCCTTGGTTCAGCCTTGGTTCAACGACCACCCCTCCCACGATGCAGTCAGACTTTCCAGAGCACCTAGTTTATGCCCAGAACTGGGCAAATGGAAACCACCTCTGCAGCGATAAGAGGGTCAGGAAACATCCCAGAGAAACGTAAGGTGAAGACAGGAGTGTGTACCATGAAAAGTGATGAGTTCTGAATTCCCAGAATAAGTGGTACCAACCTAGAAAGAGAGAGAGAAAGCCAAGGTCATACACTGTAACCCTGTTCTGGTTTTTACGCGCAGGGAGCTAGTCCCCTGTCCCAGGCGCAAGGGGCAAGGTCATGGAGTTAGGCCTGCCCTGGGTATTGGAGCCCCGCAAAGCCCTGAGCTCCCCAGTGCCCCTCAATGCAAAGCATCTCAGGCCTGCAACTGGCAGGTGTAGGGGTGGGGCTGCAGCCTGTAGCTGAGCCAGGGTGAGATCCATGGGCTAAACGACTCTGCAAAGGGAAAGAAAGTCATGGCAATGTTGGTCTGGCCAACCGTGAGCGTTCTTGGCCTCCTTTCTGATCAGGTAGGACTGACTCATGTGAGAGGTCAAGCGATGGTAAGTGATGCACTTAAGTCATGAACCTGGGCCAGGCGTTAGCTATGCTGCCATGTGTAATCAAAGACGAGCACCCAGAACAGGAGTTGATGGTGGTGATACTTAATAAAGAGGAGCTATCATTAGATTGGGGCGCTATTCTGGACTTCCCATTATGTGCCAGGGGTCTGGAGTCCAAGCTGTTCAAGATAATATTCCTTCACAGTTCATCCCCAGATTCCTGCATTTCTTTCTTTCTTATTTTCAATAACAGAGCTATCTGCCACTTTCCTTTTATAAGCCCACCTCCAGCTTTTTCCCAGCTAATATGTGAATCAAAATGATCCCTCTGATCCTAGATCCTCCCATACTTATGGGTGGAAGGTCACAAGCTCAGGTTGTCACCAACAGAAGATGTGGGGAGGGGACAGGAATCTTCCAGGAAAAACAATTCTAAGTTAAGGACAGAGGCAGCCATGCCAAGCAAGTATCTTACAGCTGTGCTGATAAAGTTCCTCCACTCCAGGGGTGAGCTGTTAATTGTTACGGTATTAGAAAGGGGATGAAATGAGAAGCAGCCTGTGAAATGCTGGATGTTAGAGGAAGCATTTCTTATTTAACTGTCCATTTTGAGAGCTGGTCAAGAAACATCCACACTCAAGCCTGCATGGTGTCCAGCCAGGCAACATGAAATCAAAAACAATGCTCTTAGCTCATCTCTGGCACTTTTAAAGTAACATCATGACCCCCAATGGCCATGATCACTGCAAAGGATCCTAGCATAGGTCACAGTAATTGCGGTAGCATTATACAATACTCTTGAGTTTTCCAAGTTCTGTCCCACGGTCAGTCCATTTGAAGCCTGGTATCATGTTTGTAGGGAGGGGCTTTGGGCACCAGCTCATAGAGAGACCTTGCCTCTCCAGGCTATGATTCCTTGGCTGTGGTGGGAGGCAGCCATCTCTCAGGTCACCTTACACAGGTAGGCCCCTATACAGGGGGCTCCTACCCTCTGCCTTCAGGACCAGAGTTCCCAGGCTCTGGGCTGCAGAAATGATTGTTTCAAAGTTTAGACGGGACAGATGTCTGGGCAAACACTCAAACTGTATCATTTTAAAGCCCTTGACCGAAGTCTCGTCACCACCCCTACAGACATGAATTAAGAACCCGCTTCAAAGAACCTTTCCAAATTGTAACTTGCAGGCTCCCGAGAACAGAGGCCACGCCTGTCTAGTTCACCACTGCAGTTCTAGGGCTTCACGTGTACTTGGCATTCGTAAATCTTCGATAAATACTTGTTGAGTGAACTATCACGTTCAGTGACTAATGCGTGTCTGGGGAGAGGCCCACCCTCCCGGCGCTTCCCCACAAAACTAGACCCTCCTCATACGGGCCTAGGGACAGTGCATTGACCAGGGGGGTGAACAGGCATATGCCTGACCCCTTGGGGTACCAAGGGGTGCCAGAGGGCCCGAGTGATGGCCCAGCTGTGTCCCTCCTGTGACCTTTGACAAGTTGGCGAGTTTGTCTGAGTCACAGTTGGATTTGTCATTACAAAGAGGGAGAGGAAGTCCCTCCTCTCAGCGTGGTGTACTGGGCAGAAACAGGACAGTTAAGAAAGGATAGTTACACATTTTAGCCTGAAGCTCTCAATGTGAAGCTCACTAGTCAAAATTGCCTTTTTATTCTCCTCTGTGTTTTAAAGTATCTATTTCCCCCTTTTTTATACTGCTTCAAGCAGGAAGCTAACGCGTCCACATGAAGATAACAAAAGGCACTGCTTTTTGATTGCAAAGAAACGTTGTCCACATGTGTGCCCTTAGAAGCCCTAATATGATTCAGAGCCACCTGCTCACTTGAAGACATCGGAACACTGACAGAGTGGCTCAAAACAAAAGCTAAAAACTTATCTTCTCTGAGTTGCTTTCTATGCCAAAGCCTGCTCTTTAAGGCCATGACTGTTTGCTACTTACAGGCGTTTTGCAGTGTGGCCGGACTGGAATCGGGAAGACAGCCTGTTGGAAACGAGAATGAGAGGGGGCCTGAGGACACCCGACTCCAGCTCAAGCCAGTAGGGGACCGTTTCCGCTTTCCCAGGAGGTCTCTCTCCCTTCCCACCCCAACTTACTCCTTTGATGTTAATCACAGCTCCCGGTGGTCCTGGGGGGCCTGGAGGACCAGGAATGCCAGGTGGACCCTGAAGGGGGGCAAGAAAGGCCATTCCTGAGTGCGGGCTGTTTTAAGCACAGAGGCAGCTGCAGGGTACTCCCCCAGGGTTTGGAGACGAGGAGAGGAGGGTCTTCTAAAGCCGACTAACTCTTCCCACGGGGAGGCCAGCCTCTTCCTGAAGCAGTCTGCCTCTGTGTCCTCACTGCATCTTCACGACGGCAGAGCAAGTATCATCGCTGGTTTACAATGGGAGGCAACGAGGGCCAGAGAGGGGAAGTGACCTGCTAAAGGCCACGCAGCAATTCACAGAAGGATGGAGACTGGAAGCCAGATTCTGACCCCCAGAGCAGTGCTCAGTGGGTACAGAGCCCACCACCTCTACCAACGCATCCCCCAGAGGGAGGGGGTGGTGGGGTGGGGCCTGGCTGGGATACGGGGCCTGAAAGGGCCCCGCATAAATGTAATGATAAACACCGGTTCCTGTTAGACGGCAGAGTCCATGGCAGAGCCAGGTCGGCCTGGCCGTGAGAGCATGCAATGCTTTCTCTGCCAGTCCTGGAGCCCAAGCTGCAGCTTCAGCAGACGTGGGGGAGGGGAGGCCCCGACCGTAGGTGAGGGGCGCCCGGCCCAGGTGCAGGCTCCACGTGATCACTAGACTGGGAGCACTGGTGAGTGATTCAGCGTCACCTCATTCCTGCAATTCTGGGCATACCAAATTGGAGACCAATTGGAGACCTCCTGGAGACCAGACAGAATCAACAACATACTTCAAGCTGCACTTGCATGTAGCAAATGGGGCCTCCAGCGGGCGACTAACTTCTACAGGCCCTAGTTTCCTTTTGCGTAAAACAAGGGCTCTGCAGAGTGTCTCTCAGGAGAGCTGTTATCAGGACTGAGATCCTGTCCTCAAAAGCACCAGTGAACACTGGCTTCCGTACACAGACGCGGGACACTGCGGACGTCCCAGGCTCTGCCATCTTGTGAGGTTCTGCGGACGCAGCTGACTGAGCTTCTGTGTTCTCTCAACGCTCACCAGCCCCACCCCAGCTACACCAGTGACCTGAGAAATCCCCAGGAACGTGTAATCCAGGAAAGACATGCCAGAACCCGGGTCAGAACACCTGGGATTTGAAGCCAGGCTTCTGGAGGATTCCCAGATCGTGTTCTGCCCCCCTCCCCTGGGTCTGGATGAGGAAGTTATGCTCCACTGTGGTGGATTTGGTGCAGGACCTCCTGAGAATGAGCCTAAGGACAGGGCTGGGCTGCGGATCTCTGGAAGGGGCGGCAGGGGAAGAGGACCACTCCTGAGCGCTCTGTCCGCTCGCTGGGACCTGGCACCAGGCCAGTCCCCCTCCTGCCCTGGCCCTGGGGCCGCGCCCCCGGGTGTTGTGGGCCTGGGCCTCTGGTGTGGCACTCACCGGGATCATGACCCCTCGATCTCCTTTGGCGCCTTTGAGGCCATTCAGTCCTGGGCGACCCTGAAACCCACGAGAGAGGCCTCAGTAAACCCCCAGGCCAGCCTGGCCCACATGTCCTCCTCCCACCTGCAGTCTGAGGAGCTCGGACACCTACAGGTCGCCCAGGGAGGCCGAATTCTCCTCTGTGTCCTGGCGGTCCTTTGGGTCCCTGGAGGCAAAGTAAATGCCAGATTAGAAAGAGGAAAATACTGTATGATGTCACTTACATGTGGAATCTAGAAAAGCCAAAATAGTAAAAAAAAAAAAACAAAAACCAACAGTGTAAAAGGTGGTTACGGGGCAGGAGGGTGGGGGAACAGGAGAGGTCTGGCTTAAGGTACAAACTTGCAACTAGTACACCTAGGTCCTGGAGAGCTAACAATGCACAGTACAGGGAATACAACGCTGTATTATAATCCTCAGACTCGCTGAGAGTCGAGATCTTTATTCCAGCCCCAAACAGAAATGAGAATTACATGATGTGAGAGAGCGGCTATCTGTACAATGGCAATCACATTACAATACATAGACGTATCAGATCAACACGCACCCCTTAAATGTACACAGTGCTGTATGTCACATATATTTCAATTAAAAAAGGAACAAACGAACAGAAGCTAAAAGGCCAGGGAGATGGGCGGTGTCCAGCCTACCTTTGTGGGCAGTGGTGACAATGAACCACTGCTAGGAGGATGGAGGACAAGAACCTATGTGTCCACCTGCCTGGCTCCTTGGCCGCTGGTCTCTCTGAGTTCAGCTGGACCCACTTGCTCCATCCCTCCTACAGGCTCTCCCCCATCACAGACAGGGACCCAACCCTCTCAGCCAGGCAGGAATAACAAGGAAACAAGAGGTCAGGAGCCTCAGGCCTCAGCTCCCAGGGAGCTGTGTGCTGGACCAGCTCAGAACATGGACCTTTGCCTTCAGTCTTAAGTCCCAGGGCTCTCCATACCCCCTTGCTGGAATAACCCAGCCCAGCCCCACACCTTACGTCAGCCCAGTCCAATAATCTGCTCCAGGATTTGGTTCCTGCCTTGCTCCCACCGGTCCCTAATGACCAGAGTCTTGGCCTGGCATCCCAGCTCTCCGGATGAGCCCCTGCCCATGGACCCCATCCCAGTGCTGGCTTTCTGTGTCCCCTTGCTCCCGGAGACACTGCTCCACGCTCCTGCAGGAGCTTTCCTGCCTTCCAGTGCCTGGATGCATACATTGCAAGATCTCATCCTAGGACAGGCTCTATGTCCAGTGGACACCTCTTTTTTTGAAGCTGAGTCTGTCCTGTCTCCCAGGGGAATGACTGGTTTAACCCTGGGACCTATCAAGCCACTTCTTTCTGCTCTAATAACATGTTCATCCATGCCCTGAAAAAAATGGCAAGTAGACTGTGCTGAGACAGGCTTTGGATGCAAAGTACTCAGTTGTGTGTGACTCTTTGCAACCCCATGGACTGTAGCCACCAGGCTCCTCTGTCCATGGGATTCTCCCGGCATGAACAGTGGAGGGGGTTGCCACGCCCCCTCCAGGGGACCTTCCTGACCCAGGGATGGAATGCAAGTCTCCTATGTCTCCTGCATTGGCAGCTGGGTTCTTTACCTCTAGCACCATTTGGGAAGCCCTAGTAAGTGGTTAACACAAAACTCTCCCAGTCTGCCCTAGCCTGCAGCTAGGACCAAGGATCCCTCTCCAGGGCATCCATTCTGCCTGACTTAAGGGACCAGACTTCCAGATATTCAAGCTGGATTTAGAAAAGGCAGAGGAACCAGAGATCAAATTGCCAACATCCGTTGGATTATCAAAAAAGCAAGAGAGCTCCAGAAAAGCATCTACTTCTGCTTTATTGACTACACCAAAGCCTTTGACTGTGTGGATCACAACAAACTGTGGAAAATTCTTCAAGAGACAGGAATACCAGACCACCTTACCTGCCTCCTGAGAAATCTGTATACTAGTCAAAGCTATGGTTTTTCCAGTAGTCATGTATGGATGTGAGTTGGACTATAAAGAAAGCTGAATGCCGAAGAACTGATGCTTTTGAACTGTGGTGTTGGAGAAGACTCTTGAGAGTCTCTTGGACGGCAAGGAGATCTAACCAGTCCATCCTAAAGGAAATCAGTCCTGAATATTCACTGGAAGGACTGATGCTAAAATTCCTGATGCAAAGAACTGACTCACTGGAAAAGACCCTGATGCTGGGAAAGATTGAAGGCAGGAGAAGAGGACGACAGAAAGATGAGATGGTTGGATGGCATCACTGATATGATGGACATGAGTTTGCACAAGCTTCGGGAGTTGGAGATGGACAGGGAGGCCTGGTGTGCTGCAGTCCGTGGGGTGTCAAAGAGTCGGACATGACAGAGCAACTGAACTAAAGGGACCAAAGGCCTTAGAAAGTCATCTGAAGGATGCACCTTGGAGGTTACGCACCATTCATCAAGGACACGTGCCTGTTAGAGCAATGTGAGGTCCTTTCTCCCCAGTCCAGAGATCCAGCTTCAAACAAATCCCACATTCAAATCCCAGTGTGCAATTCCCCAGCCCCAAATGTTTCAGAAGAATGAAGGCATTCACTGGAGGCAGTGAGATGTGCTGGGAAAAACCAGGACACAGACTCTGACAAGTTCGGTTCAAATCCCCACTTGTTATTAACAAGCTGTGTAGCAGTGGGCAAGTTACTTAACTTCTTTGACCTCAGTTTCCTGGTCTATAAAATGGGCATTCTGACATTCACTGCTCAGGGTGGTGAAAATTAAATGAGATGATCTGTGTTGAAGCATCACTGTCCAACCCATAGTGGATGTTGCATGAGTTTTCTTGTGGATGTTGCATGAGTTTTCTTTTCTTTGAGGAGAAATATATGACAGGAAAGTTTAGGGTTCATCTGGAGAGAACTGGTAGTTTAAGACTGCTCAGAAGCCTGAATGAGTTATAGGTTCCTGGAGTAGTTAAGCAAGAAAGGCCCAATCATGTCATTTGGTATTCACTCACAGATGGGGAAACAGAAGCCCAGAGAGAGAAGAGGACTTGTCTGAGGTCACACAGCAAATGAGCAGCAGATCTAAGACCAGAAGCCAAGAGGCCCAGGTTGCTTGGGCAGTGGTAATCTGTAGCTGGCAAGACCCATGGTACAACTGTGGGGCTCACCACCGTCTGCTTCCCTGCTTCCTTCTGGACACACAGCTAGACCAAGGTCTCCCACCACCCACCCCACTGCCTCCTGCATCAGTGGAGGCCAGAGGTGGAGCTCATCATCTTCCATGGTCTGCCCCTCCCCAAGCGAGGCCTGCCAGCTGGAAGATGCCAGTGTGAACCTGAATCCACCAGACAGTGAAGTCACAGGACCCAAGCATCATGGGCTCCCGAGTCACCGCTTGGAGGGGAGATGCCCAACTGGCAACCACCACCGTGGATTTTGTAAAAGTCAGAACTAAGCCATGACTATGCTAAACCATTGAAATTTTATTTAATCGCAGTCAGCCTACCCTTGATACACTGATACACACACACATTGCCATATCATTTTTATTTTCACAACTCAATCTAGTTGAGCCAAAATACGATAAATGCTTTAAACCCCAGTTTAGGGGCAACATGCTCCGGCTTACCATTGGTCCCGGGGCTCCGTGCTCTCCAGGTTCACCCTAAAACAGGGAGACAAAGACCTGTCACTCAGAAGAACATATTCAGCAGCAGAAACAAAGATGGGATTTTAAGCAGACACGTTCTTTCAGGGTCTGGTGGAATAGTTACCTTTTGGCCCCTCAGCCTTTCCAGAGGAACATCCCCCGTCAGGATGGCACCCGGCTCTCCCTTCTCGCCCTGCAATCCAGAGAACCGTTCGATGAAGCTGGGCCTCGCCTCACCACCTCATCCAGAAGCTCGCCGCCATGATTTCTTTGGCTTTCAAGCTGCCTCTCCAGCCCCCCTGCCCCGACACGACCTCTCGCTGCGATACTGCACAGCCTCCCAAGTGGTGAAATACTGTCTACTCCGCCGCCTCCATGTACTTCATTACTGTCTGAAAGCACAGGCTGGGGCCCTGCGAGCCCCTCCAGGGCTCCTGCTGCTGCCTGCTCAGCATCCCCACCTTAATCCTCCAGGAACCTTAGTCCGCTAGGTCCACCCCACCTCTGGCTGTATGCTCCCCGCTGAGAACCTCTGGCTCCTAACATTAATCTATTTGGTGGCTTGTGTTCCTAACAGCTCAACTTGAGATCTGTTCTCCCCTAAAATCCTTATTCTTGTTAAAATATCTAAAATTGGGAAAGCCGTGAGAGCATGATCAGTGGAGGCCTCTCTCGACACAGGGGTCCTGAGTCTCTATGTGGAATTTTGCCTCCAAGCTCCAGGCTCCTGTACAAACACTCAGGCAAAGTTATCTCAGTTGCTGGGACATAGGGGAGATGGGGAAACTGGTAGCAAGGACACAGAATCCTGCCCCCAGTCCTGCACTCTGCAGGGCTACCTACCATCCCAGGAGGCTTCCAAGAAGACATATGTCCAGAGAAAAGGCCAGGGAGAGGAGCCACTCAAGGCTCTGGCTCCAAACTTCCATGCTGGCCCCTGAAGAGCTGGACTGGACCACACGAAAGTCTCCCTTCAACAGGGCTGGAAGCAGCCAGGGCAGTGGTGCCAAAGCAATCCCAGCAGCCTCTTCTCTCTGGCCCCCACGCCCACACCTGACATTCGGATCTTACCACTCAACTGGTGAGGAAAAGCAGTCCTGAGCACGCCAGCAGCAAGAAGAAGCAAGCACAAAAGCATTAGAGGTAAAGCCAGAGAAAGTGCATTTCCGCAGGGGTCAGAGCAGAGCTGTCTGGGTGCTCTTCCCACTTCTCAAGGTGGCAGGGGATTGGGGCAGGGATAGCAAGCAGGTCCTTCTAGATCCACCTGACCTTGCCACATGGAAAACAGAATGTTTACAGCAAGAGCTGATCTGATTTGACCAGGCTTCCTGGCAAGCCAGAGCTGCCCTGGCTCCAAACGCTCTCTGCAGGCCCGAGGCAGCAAAAGGCACCCCAAGACAAGGTCTCACGTAGCGTTAAACTCAGAGCCAGCACACTGAGCCCTCTGCCCCCTGGACTGTGGTCCAGAGACGCTACAGACTCTCCGCTTCCTTGGGGCTAGTGTGAAACGGTTCAGGAAGGAAGGAAAGAGAGTAGTCAATGGTCCTTTCTCTTAGAGACGCACCCACCTTCCCTGACACCGCAGCTCAGGGTTGCTCCTGCTGGCTTTGCACAGACCCCCCTTACGGCAATAACCAGTCTCTCTGCGGCTCTCTGCATGTCTGTTCCTCACATCTTATCTCACTGTTCCTAGCGCCTAGCATAGAAACATGGCTGGTGCATCAAAGGGAATGGATGTAAGCAGGATGAGTATACAAATGGATGGATGAACAAATGAATGCAACGCAGAGTCACTGCAGTCTGTTTATGAAAATGTTACTCTCCCCTTACCTATAAAAACCAACTGGGAAATCAGTTCTAAGAGGCAAGTGTGGACGGGTACAAAGGTCATTTTCAAGGTCCGAGGAATCTCAGGAAGTGCTCTGCATGCTAAATATTTATTCCAAAACTTCTGGACCAAGACTGCTAACCAACTGCAGAATGCCCCAGCTTATGATAATCATAAAGACTTAATAGCATAATAAGAATTTCTTGCACTCATTACTCATACATCCTTTCACCCAGTAAATATTTTGAGTGCCATTCATATATCAGGCACAGTGCTATGCACTGGAGCCACAGAAAGGGAAGTGGATGTGCCTGCCCTCAGGGAATGCGCATTCTAACAGGAGAGCCTGGCGGAGGCAATTGGACCGAGCACAGAACTCATGGGAAGAGCATTCAGGGGAGTGTTGGCTGAGTTCTCCTTGCAACTATGGTAAGAATCTACTTCTCCATGCACCGCACCTGCACCCTGGAGGAACCTTGACATCATGAACCTGAACAGCTGGGGAGTGACTGCCACACGACACAGTGCTTCTTGCAACATGATGAAAATGTTCTATAATTAGGTCGTGGTGGTGGCTGCATACCTTGCAACTATACTAAAAATCTCCGAATTTCACAATTGAAAGGGGTGCCTTTGATGGTATGTGAGTTATATCTCAAACTTAAAAAGTGAACAGCTACTTTCAACCCATTTGAAATATTTAGCAAATTCTCCCACCCAGATACCTGACCCTTCTTACCTGTTCTCCTTTTAGTCCTGGAAATCCAGGGACGCCAGTGTCACCTTTTGGACCTCTTGGGCCCTAGAAGAGTTATTGGAGAGTATTTGGTTGCTTGTTAAAATTAAAATGCTTTAACTAAATGAAGGTTTCTTTCTTTTTCCCCAAAAAGTAAAAGAACAGAGTGCCAGTGGAAGTCACAGTTACGATGTCTTTCCTCATTTTAAGTGGTCTGGGGGAAGGAAGACAGCATAGAGTGTTAGGAGCCCTAGAGGCCCCATTTCTCTTTGAACTATGGTTGCCTCCAACGGGCATCACTAAAACAGCCTTGCCTGTTGCCTCTGCTCACCCATGGGCCCTAGGGGCCGTCCTGCAGCCCACTTCCCCCATCACCCATCCTCCAGGATTCCCACTCCTTCCCTGGCTCCCCACTCCCTAAGGAATGGGATCCAGACACCCCAGTCTGACCCTCAAAGTGATCCCACCTGGTCGTGGCACTTCATCCTCTGCTCCCGTCACTCCAGCAGGGGTGAGCCTGTCCCCTTAGACTCTCTGCACCCACCCCAACGCCCACCGCTGCCTCCACCATTCCCCCTGCAGAACCAATTCTGCACACCCGGTCAGAGGTGACCTCGTCTCAACTCCGACAGACACTCAAGATCTGTGACAATGACCCAACACAGCCAGACATCTGCCCCCCCAAAAGGGTTTCAACACTTTTTAGTGTTGAAATTTAGTGTAGTTTAGCTTTTCACAAGTCCCTTTCCTCTGGGTTAATGCAGTGGCCCTCAAATATTTGTTATTATTTTTTAGCAGTGAAACTCTTTTCATTCCTTTTTTCAAGTAAAGTCTTAAACAAAAGCCCAATATACAAAATACATCAATGGAGCCTTGTCAGTGCCCCGGATCCTGCTTATTTGGCCCCTCCTTACTCTTCAAGTGGCCCCAAAGCCTCCTCTGAGAAGCCCAAGGCTCCCTCGGGAACACAGAACCAGTCATTCAGAGGCAAGTGCGTCTGGAACACACTCTGGTTTTGGAGAAGCCAAGCTGGGCTTGGAGCTCAGAGGTCTCGCTCCCTCTTCCTAACTAAGAGGTCTTCCCTGTGGCTGTCACTCTTTCCTGTTTTTTAATGTCAAGTTCTCCTGTAGTTTTAGTGTCAGCATACCATATGCTCCTTTAAAAAACAGAAAACCTCAGAAAATATAAAAAAGTAGAAAAAACCACCTATAATTCTACCATCAATGACAAATTTCTATTACATTTTTTGATAAATTTCCCTCATCTATCCTGGGGGCAGCACACACGTCAACAGTGGCACTGAGGCCTTTTCAGGACTGTACTGTGCAGAGATTTCACTCTGGTGCAGGTCTCACTCTGGAGCCTTGGGCTTCAGAGCGGGCGCAGACATTTAGACTCAACCGATCACTTCCTACACAGAAACGCACTTTCACCTTCCATGGTGGAAGCCCCATAGCATGGTGCACACAGACTACTAATTACTGGGCTTCCAGGCTCTGATTTCCCCTTTCGGTTCCCATCACCACCGTCCTCTCTCTCTAGGAATTTTACCTACTCTGACTCAGTTCAGTTCAGTTCAGTCACTCAGTCGTGTCCGACCCTGTGACCCCATGAACCGCAGCACACCAGGCCTCCCTGTCCTTCACCAACTCCCAGAGTTTACCCAAACCCATGTCCATCGAGTTGGTGATGCCATCCAGCCATCTCATCCTCTGTCGTCCCCTTCTCCTCCTGTCCCCAATCTCTCCCAGCATCAGGGTCTTTTCCAATGAGTCAACTCTTCACATGAGGTGCCCAAAGTATTGGAGTTTCAGCTTCAGCATCAGTCCTTCCAATGAACACCCAGGACTGATCTCCTTTAGGATGGACTGGTTGGATCTCCTTGCAGTCCAAGGGACTCTCAAGAGTCTTCTCCAACACCACAGTTCAAAAGCATCAATTCTTCAGTGCTCAGCTTTCTTCACAGTCCAACTCACATCCATACATGACTACTGGAAAAACCATAACCTTGACTAGACGGACCTTTGTTGACAAGGTAATGTCTCTGCTTTTTAATATGCTATCTAGGTTGCATCACTGTGCACTAAAAAAAGAATTGATGCTTTTGAACTGTGGTGTTGGAGAAGACTCTTTCCAAGGAGTGAGCGTCTTTTAATTTCTTGGCTGCAATCACCATCTGCAGTGATTTTGGAGCCCAAAAAGTAAAGTCTGACACTGTTTCCACTGTTTCCCCATCTATTTGCCGCTCTGACTCTAGCTACCTGAAATGACTGATTCATCTACTGGCATTCATAGGAAGCCAACCGTGGGATCCAGTTCTGGCTCTGGCTGGCCCTAGGCTAGAAAGAGATGAACAAGACCCGATCCTCTGCAAGCTGATCGTGGTATAGTTGAGGAAAAAAGAATAGGGGCATACATAACTGTTACTGAAGGCAGAAAAGAGGTGAAAATAAAGCCCTTTTAGACTCAAAGGTGGGAACGATCCCTGTGGGCGGGGCAAGCAGGAAAGGCTATATGAGCAGGAACTACTAGGGCTCAGCCGTGCGGATGGAGAGGAACGGCACTCCAGGTGGGAGGAACAGAATGTGCACAGCCACAGGGCACAGAGGAGGATGGCTGGCGTGGTACTCACCGGGAATCCTGGCAGCCCAGGCATGCCCTCGGGGCCCTGTAGCACGGAAAGACAAAGAGGCGGCTCAGCAGCAGCACTTCCGGGCCAGCAGGAACCTGCACCCAAGGGCTCCCTGCCTCTGGCACCTCCCAAAGGCCCACGCATGTCCCCACCCAGTGGGACTTGTGATCCATCCCACGGGGAGAGGGACCATGCAGTCACGCAGCTAGGTAGCACAGAGCCAGGAAATGCCCAGAAGCCTGGAGCATCTGCAGCCCCGTCAGGACTCGGCTCCGCAGGTCCCAGCCTCCCCCACCCCCAAGCACTCCTCCTCCTTCTCGACCTCAGAAATCCCTGGGGCAATGAACGCAGAGCTTCACCTTCACAAATATCCTCAGAACTTCCCAAACTCTGAGGAGTGGGCCCCAAGGGTGTGCTGGGGTATTTGGGGTTAGAAGTGGGGGCAGTTGGTGAGACTCAGTTCTCTTCCCTCAGTGAGAGGCAGAATTTTAAATGGCCAGCCGCTTTAAAGGCTCCAGGAAACAGAAAATTTGTGGTTCACTCCACATGGTGCCAGGACATGTTTTCCTCCAAGCCCAGCTACCCACACACCTATTAAAGGCATAGAGTTTGGCAGAATATACATACAGAGATATAACTGAACGACAACTTCCCCAGTGTACAGTCATCCCTGGGTATCTGAGGGGTATGGGTGTCAGGATCCCCTGTGGATACCAAAATCCTCAGATGCTCAAGCCCTTTACATAAAATGGTCAGCATATAACCAATATACATACTCCATATACTTTAAATCATCTCTAGATTACTTATAATACCTAATACAATGTAAAAGCTATATAAATAGTTGCCAGCATGCAGCAAAGTCAAGTTTTGCTTTTTAAAACTTTTGGATATTTTTCAGTCTTTTTTTTTAATCCAAGGTTGGTTGAATATGTAGATGCAGAAGCAACAGGTACAAAGGACTATATACTAATATATATATAGTGTACATACGAAAAGTGATGAAAGTGAAAGTCGCTCAGTCATGTCAGACTTTTTGTGACCCCATGGACTGTACAGTCCATGGAATTCTCCAGGCCAGAATACTGGACTGGGTAGCCATTCCCTTTTCCAGGGGATCTTCCCAACCCAGGGATAGATATAGTGGAGTGGAAAAGCATAAAGGTGCGACTGGGAGGGAATTATCTGAACAGGAAAACCTGGATCCTCCCTTAGAGATACCCTTGAAGGCCTGGACTTGCCAAAGAGAAGGACAGGGATTGAGACAGAAAGAAGAGTCTTGGGGTGCGGGCAGACAAGGCCCACGGACTCAGAAAAGAGATGCCTGTTCTTAGATCTTAGGCTGCGTTTTGCTTTAGAATTAAGCCACCTAATGCTCTAAGCTTCCAATAATTAGAAGAAAACTTTGTGAAATGACTTTTGCTTCTTTGCTTTAGGGCTTGCTTATTGGGGTGTTTTGGGTGATTCTAGCAGAAATCAAGGAAAGGGAGCCCCCTTAGATGTGGAGAAGAGAGTGAAATGACCCATGAGCAGAGGCTCACGGCAGGAGACACTGGCTCGGAAGGAATCTCTCAGATACTTAGTTTCAGGATACACACCGCAGGAGCCTTGGGCAGAGGGCTGAGTTTTCCCCGGGATGTGGATGGCAGGGGCTCAGGCCAACCCCACTGGGGACGGGGAGCCCAAAGCTTTCAAGGCCAGGGCTCTTCCCTCTCACTCCAGCTGTCACCAGCAGATGTGAAAGATGCAATGGGAATCCACCACACGGGCTGCAGGAGGAAGCTTCCTTCCTCTGAGGTCCCGGTGAGACACAAACCGACTCTGTGGACTTGAAGAAATGAGGGAGCTTCTTCGTGTGTTCCTGATCTCTAAACGGGGCCAGGAAGACTGAAGCCAGGCACATTCCCTCCTCATGTGCCAATTTCCCCGTTAGCAGCAGGCTCCTCCCCTTCTGGGAAATGAGACCACGTAAACAAAAGCAGGCCCAAAGCATTGCTCAGATGTCAATTAACTTGTTACTTCTGATTCTCTGATTTCCATTACACACATTTCTGATGCAAGGGACTGGAAGCTTCCACCGCATTGGACAAAACTCCCAGCACAATCAAATTAACGCTGCAGCAACTTCTCAGAGACACAAAGCTCTCTTTCCAATCCACTTTGAGACACGTGCGCTCTGCGCTTCAGGAGCCCAAAGATTCCAAACCCACCCAACTTGGGTTCAACTGGGGCATCTGGGTAGAACCTCATTCCAGGGCAGCTGTGGATACACACCGGAGGCCCAACGAGCTCAGGAATGGCCGAGAGATTCACGAATCCTTGGGTGATGTTGGTCAAAGACTGAAAAGAGAAAAACCAGACAAAGAGACAGAGGGTGGCACATATTCCACCTTGTTCCGGCAGTGAGGCTTGACCCGAAGCCACCCTGCACATGGCAGATGCAGGCAGACAGTGACAGCACCCGCCCACCGCCGACACACACACTCTACCGCTTCTTAAGGTGGCCCTGAGCCACGTGGTCACTGTTCTCTTCTGATTAATCTTCAAACTGCACAGTACATGAATGTCTTCCTTCTTGCATAATTTTAAATATTAAAATTTTATAAATTTTTATAATTGACAATATATACATGGTGAAGAAGATAGTGAAGCACGGGGAAGCCTGACATGCTGCAGTCCATGGGGTCTCAAAGAGTTGGACACGAAAATGAGTGACTGAAACAAGCAATATTATATTTATGTTATTAATATATAATTATAAATTAATAATATTAATACCCACAGAAAATAGTGTTGGGGAGTGTGTGTGTGTTTTATATATATCTGTCTAAGTGGTTATTTTATATAAATGGTACCAGGCTGTATGTATTATTCTTCAGCTTGCTTTTTTTTAACTCAATCATATGACACAGAGGTCTTTCCATGTGGAAATTTTCAGTATGAACATATTAGCAGGTCGCCAAAGAGCTGTTTAAAGGAACTATACAATTTATACTTCCAACAAAGAGATTTTTCTATTTCACCACATCCTTATCTACAATTGATATTTTTGAATTATACTTAAAAATCTCTAGTCATTGCTTTTTTTTCAGTTATTTGGGACTTTCTGTCTTTCTGTCATCTACCAGTATGACATCATTTCTCTCCTTAGGGCCACAATTTTTCACAAATGTGATGTTCTCATGTCCAGTGGGCTGCGATCAGGTCCCAGCCCACATGCTACTCTTCTCTACAGATTTCCATCAATCTCCACACAACCCCACGCCCGTCAGCTCCCTGGGCCTCGGATACACCCATGTTTTTCTATTCTGTGCTTCAGCTCTGAGAGTCCCGACCCCCTGAGTCCTGGAAGTCCTGTCCTCCACGCCTACTGGTAAATCCTGCTTAGCTTTCAAGTCCCTCTTCAAAGATACTGCTTCCAGAAAATCTGTCTTGATTTCTCACATCCTAAACAATCTTTCCTCCCTGGCCCCCAACTTACGTTCCTTGCCTGTCGGTTACAGCTCTGTTATACTTATTTTTCTGACTGCAAATGCTGCCAACCAGAAGAGAGGGTTGGGGACACACTATGGGAGACAATAGAGGTATCATATAGGCATAGACGGACGGCCCGCGCCGGCAGGTAGAAACTCCAACACCAGAGGCCACCTGCACGCCCCCTGCAGAACTAGCCGCCCTGAAGGCACTCAAGTTGTGGACAACCCTCCCTCCCCTTCAGCAAAGTCTGAAACACCAGCCGTGCTCTGACCTGGGGATACTCACACTAGACAGGACCTCGAGTCGCCCCGGCGGCCCCCTGGGCCCGGGGGGGCCCACAATGCTGGCTCCGTCCATCCCTCTGTCACCCTGGATACAGCAGTGAGGGTGGGAAAAAGTTCACTGTATATGGATAATGCTCCCAGACCGGGATGAGCACTTCTCTCACCCCTACTCCGGATCAATGACCTCACCTTAGGTCCCCGGTCTCCTTTTTCTCCTTTGGGACCCTGGCAAAACAAACAAACAAATATTCTTTGAATTTTTTTCTATTCACTTGGCCCATTTTCCATCTATCCTTCCATCTTACCATCTCTCCCTAAGCTCTCACAAGGACTCTATCCCTGACAATGGGAGCAAAAGATGAAGAGCAAATTCCCCTTACGGAGTCAGAAGGAAGGAACATCTCAGACAGCAGGAGGAGCAGAGGTCCCCTCCCAGCACTGGCCGAGTGTCCTTTGACCGTGACCCTCAGAGCCCTCTGCCTCTGGGGGTGGGGGAGGTCTTCCTATTCGATTATGGAGGGGCAGCGATGCTCTCCTCTGCGAGGCTCAGCTCCCACTGTACTGGCGTGCCCAGCTCTGGGTACCACTTGACAAACATTATGAGATCCTGGGGACTGGTCTTCTTGAGAGAAGCATCACAGCAGAGGATGGACCACACCTCCCTGGGGGAAGATGTAGCGGGCAGGGGCACCTGTTAGGAGCATGGGATTCTGAAATGGGGCGACGTGTGAGTCTTGAAAGGGCAGCAGAAAGGAGGCAATGAGGCTGAGATGCTTGATGGTTAGGGACTGGGGAGAAAGATGATTTTCAAGTTTTCCCATATTATATCTTGTGCAAAACCTCTATGCTGTTCCTCAAAGAAACAAGCTATAACCAGCACCTGGTCCCCCCACCGCACAGCTGGAAGCTGGAGGCTCAGAGAGTGTGAATTATTGTAAGTCACAGAGCAGGCTGGCACCCCACAGCTTCCCCACACCAGCATGATAGCATGACAATCCGCAAAGTGACGGTTTCAAAAGTCAACCTACACTTGAAGCCGTCGGCCCAGAGAGGGACTCATGTAAGTGCCTGACGCTGCCTGAGCCCTCGGTATCCTAGGGAAGGAAGAAGAAGAAGAATTTCAGATCTGACCCCCAGACCCCTCCCTGGGCCAGGCACGGCGCTGGGAGCTGGGGCTCCGGGGAACCAGCAGCGTCACGGCATCGTTAGCTGGCCCTTCCAGTCATCCTTAATACACGCTGCTCTTTAACCACAGGGATGAAGGGAAATACCTCAAATCCAAGTCCTGTTGTACATCCAGGGCCTGGGGGCCCAGGGGGTCCAGGAGGCCCTGGGGGTCCCATGACCCCAGGAGCGCCAACTTGTCCATTTTTCCCTGGGGGTCCTGGTAAGCCTCTGTTGCCGGGATCACCCTGTGAGGAAGGGGACAGGCTGAGTATCGAGTCTTGGGTTCATTCATGGAGGGAACAACATTCACACCTGAGTCAGAAAATTGTTCTTTGAACTTCGTTAGATGGATGGATTCTGTGACTGGTGCTGCTTAACGGTACAGAAACAGCTGTCTTGCCAATTGACATTTTCCTTTCCATCAGATAAGCTGATGGCGCCCGTTGAGTGCATTTGGGTGGAGGGAGTGACAGGAGAAAACCTGCAGGTCACTCACTCTCCTCCAGCTCCAGCTGTTCTGCCTTCCCCAAGCAGTTCCGTCCCGACGTTTTTCTCTGATCCATGACATTTACATCTTTAGTACTTCAGCCCAACAGTTCAATGATACTAAACCCAGAGAGACAGGAAGAAGGAGGAGACATTTTTTCTTTTTCATTTTTTACCTTTTCACCAACTGAGCCATTAGGTCCTCTAGCTCCCTGAAAAACAATGATGGCCGATTATACATAGTATAATAGCACATCTCCCATTAGGTACATTTAGAAGGAAATGCAGGGTTACAGACACTTAAGTATCAGGACATTAACATGGGACTCTTCCTCTGCGGTTCTGACTGATGTCTCAAACCTGAGCCCATTACAGTGATTGTGAGTTTGCTAGGCAGGTCATGCTGAAAGCTTGTGAAACCCATTTTTCAACCATTAGTTCATTACCTACCTCAAGCAGAAGTTTTCATTACCTACCAAAAAGCAGAAGATGAAGATGAACCAGGGAAAGACTGTCAAGGAAGGATTTCCCTGGAAATCTGTCCGTACTGAGTGGGCCCTCTCCCCACCTCCCCAGAATGGAAGGGAAGGGGTGCCTCTCCTCCTTGAAGCCAAGAAAAGGGGCTTCAAGAATTTGATGTGTATTCCCTAGGCTTTTGGAGATATGTATATAATGGCTGACTCTCTTCTGGAAAAATCTAAAGACCGAAAGCTGGCTGGAATCGCCCCAGAATTGACGGGGAGGGTCTCTAAAACAGCTTATGTGGCCACCACCAGTGGGGGCCACGGTAGAGGTTTTCTAGGGGGTTAGATGCGGACTCCAAGGTGAAGAGCCAGCTGTGAGCTCAAAGCAGAGGGGAGGACCAACAGGTGCTGACGCTCAGCAGTGGTCAGCCACAGGATACACTGCCCCACACCAGAGGACTGCAGTCGGGGCCCCCAGCTGGAGAACCTGCAAGGAGACCGCCCAAGCACCCTCCAGGGAAGAAGCCAGAAACCGCATGGCCACACAGAAGGCTCTCGACACCACGACAAAGCCACAGTCCAAGGCTGCGCCTTCTCCCAAGCCCCTCCTCCCCTTCCTATGTCAAACCCACAGAAGTGACGCGTGGACGGCTCCAAACACTCCTGCTCAAAAACAAGACGGGGAGCGACACTGAGCCTGAACCCGGGAGGAATGCCGACGAGAAAACATGGGAAGCTGAAGCCAGAGGCTTCAGCCATGGAGACAAACCACAGGCAGAAAAATGTCAGGTAGGGGAGGAGTGGAAGCCAAGAGCAGACCCTGGCTCTGATAGAGAGAAGCTGACATTCCGGAGCTAGATAGCCACGGAGCCCTGCCCCTCTCCCCTCACCTTCCATTTCACTACAAGAACAGTGAGAGTTGTTCGGTGAAGCAAAGGGATGTGGCAGAGCCCCAGGAGGCTAGCAGACTCTGGGAGGCCCAAGGGTACTCCACACGCCTTAGCTCAGCTGCTGAGGCACATCCCAATCCTCCCGTCCTAAAACCTGCAGAAGTAGCGACCACCCGCCTCGACAGGTCTGTGTATAAACAGAGGCAGAAAACAGATTACAGAGGGTTCCAATTTCTAGAGCATCAACACACAAGCAAGAAACCCTACACATCTGAGCAAAAGCAAACCCTCTGAAAGAGAAAAGCACCAACCACGCAAAGCCTCCTGAGGAAACAGCTAACACGGACCAACGGGAACTACACTATATACTCTCGGGGAGAAAACGGAGGATATGATCGCAGCCAAGAAACAAGGACAAACTATTATGAAATAAGAACAGTGGTTACAGAAAAAAATCAGCTAGAGATCTTAGAGACAAAGATATCTAACTGCTGAGAGGAAATACTCTATACAAAGGTTGAATACCAGAACAGACATACTTAGAGAACTTCAGAGTGAACCCGGCTTCTCTATGGGGTGGCGGGAGGAGAGGACGGCTTGCAGAAGGAAGCAGAGGTAACTGGGGTCCTGCTGCTTCCCTGCCTGCCGACCTGACCTGGGAAAAACTAAGTGTGGCCTTACATCCAGAGCAGAAACAGAAAGAACTGGGTTCTGCTGCCCAAGCTGCAGGGTACAGTTCATGCGTCTGTTTTTCTTGGGTGTGACCAGCCACCATTGCCTGCTATCCGATGCAATCTGTCCTTGAAGGAAGTACTATCCTTATGCAATTTCCCAGTAATAAGTCAAATCTCGGTCAGGGATATTGTGAAATAGAAGTTAACTTAGCCCAGTCTCTTGAGTTTTGGACTCTGTCCTCTGAAAACATTATTACTGTTGACTCCATTCAAGAAAAGGATGCTCATAAGGTGAAAAACTGTACTTTTTCAATTCTCTTTCTGACTTTTCAAATCAAGAGTACATCTTGTAGCAGTTTCAAAGGAAGCTGCAGAAGATATGTTAGACCTTGATTTATCTGTCTCAGAAACAGATGATTTTATCCAGCTTGTAGGTATGAAGCGATAGTATCTGGACTCATTTCACTGGCTCATACATTTGGTGACCACCATTTTGGGACATGAGTAGATCAGTTTGGGGACGGAAGAGCTTATCTTATTGTAACGTACATGAATAGGCAGTCAAAGTGGTAGCTCCAATTCAGAGGATCAGCAAAGACCCCACAGCTAGAATGGTGAAGGCAGACTCCTCGGGGACAGAACTGTGTGGTGAGGCTATGTGCTGTCTTGGAATTCCAACCAGCAGAGTTGTGAGTCTGAATATGACGATGGGGTATGGAGAGACCTGTTCTACAGCAGAAAACACTGTGAAAGAACCAGGTGTGGGCGTGCAGCATGTTGCAAAATGATGGTTTAGAATTTATGAGAAATTCTAGGGACTTCCCTGGTAGTCCAGTGGCTAAGACTCCATGCTGCCAAAGCAGGCAGCCGAGGTTCAATCCCTGGTCAGGGAACTAGATCCCATGTGCTGCAACTAATGGTTTGAACGCCACAACTAAAAGATCCTGCATGCCATAACTATCTGAAGATTCCACACGCCTGGCACAGCCAAATAAATAAATATTTTTAAAATTCTGGTTCTGAATCTATAGATTGCTTTGAGTAGTATAGCCATTTTGACAATATTGATTCTTCCAATCCATGAACACGGTATATTTCTCCATCTGTTTGTGTCCTCTTTGATTTCTTTCATCAGTGTTTTATAGTTTTCTATGTATAGGTCTTTTGTTTCTTTAGGTAGATATACTCCTAAGTATTTTATTCTTTTTGTTGCAATGGTGAATGGTATTGTTTCCTTAATTTCTCTTTCTGTTTTCTCATTGTTAGTGTATAGGAATGCAAGAGATTTCTGTGTGTTAATTTTATATCCTGCAACTTTACTGTATTCGTTGATTAGCTCTAGTAATTTTCTGGTAGAGTCTTTAGGGTTTTCTATGTAGAGGATCATGTCATCTGCAAACAGAGAGAGTTTCACTTCTTCTTTTCCTATCTGGATTCCTTTTACTTCTTTTTCTGCCCTGATTGCTGTGGCCAACACTTCCAAAACTATGTTGAATAGTAGTGGTGAGAGTGGGCACCCTTGTCTTGTTCCTGATTTCAGGGGAAATGCTTTCAATTTTTCACCATTGAGGGTGATGCTTGCTGTGGGTTTGTCATATATAGCTTTTATTATGTTGAGGTATGTTCCTTCTATTCCTGCTTTCTGGAGAGTTTTAATCATAAATGGATGTTGAATTTTGTCAAAGGCTTTTTCTGCATCTATTGAGATAATCATATGGTTTTTATCTTTCAATTTGTTAATGTGGTGTATTACATTGATTGATTTGCGGATATTAAAGAATCCTTGCATTCCTGGGATTAAGCCCACTTGGTCATGATGTATGATCTTTTTAATATGTTGTTGGATTCTGTTTGCTAGAATTTTTTTAAGGATTTTTGCATCTATGTTCATCAGTGATGTTGGCCTGTAGTTTCCTTTTTTGCGGCATCTTTATGGTAGCTGAGTTTGCTGAGGACAATGTCAGACCTCATCGTACAATATCAAAGACCTCTGCAGTTGTGGTTTCTTTCTTACTGCCTTGTCAATGTCTGCTGGTTTTGTGTTACACTGATAACTTAAATTTGTCACAATTAAAATCAGCTATGCTCTATATGATTTCATGGAGTCCTACAATTCAGTTCAGTTCAGTTCAGTTCAGTCGCTCAGTCGTGTCCGACTCTTTGCGACCCCATGAACCGCAGCACGCCAGGTCTCCCTGTCTATCACCAACTCCCGGAGTTTACGCAAACTCATGTACAATTCAGATTTTGTACCAAATACATTTGATGATTAAAGAAGATATAAATAGGAAATCCAGCCAATATCATGATGTTTAATTGAAACAAGCTGTTATAAGCTCTAAACCCATTACTAGATTCTACTTAAGAGTAACTCAGCTCACCACCACTCAGGTTCTTGGGAAGGGATACACTGTTCCTTACTACACAAGATTTAGAGAATTGATCGAAGCCAGTTTGGGACTGGTTGGAGAAAGGGAAGGCAATTGTCATTTACTTGCATTCCTCACACATCTCATGCAAAAGCTGGTTTTACAGTGCCCAGAGATGACATTTCAGGAGCTCCGTGAGATCCCTCACAGCCAGTTACTGGGAGCTTAACAGTCCTCAGCAATTCTGGGCACTGAAGAAAATTTCAAAACATTAACTCTCTTCTGCCTGGGCATCCCAGTGCCTTTTGAGACTGAAGAATAACATGTATTAGTCAGATTATGAAAGAAGGAAAAGAATGACAACCATTAGTCCTAGGTCCATGATGAAGACAGCAGAATCTACAGTGCAAAAGCAGAAAGAAATTTTTCAGAGAGCCATTTCCAGCATTTCCAGTTTTTCAGCAGCCTTTCCAGAACCATTCTATGGATGAGAAAGCAAGCCATCCCCTGCCCATTCCCTCATGGGCTAAAGATCTCAGAGTGGCTGCTCATCTTAATTTGGGGAAAATAAATTATGGAATATTCCTATGATCAAACTCAACACAGAATAATCTATTTGATGAATTCTTAATGACATCCACATTTTGATGACAATCATCTCACATTTGAAAATGATTACCTATAACAATATTATTTCCAGCCAAGTAAACCAAACCTTATTCTTCGGGGTTTTCAACTATCTAGACTGGTCTGTGTGTCCTGCAGGTGAGGAGAGGCTGATGTCCTGGTGACAGTGAGGAACGACCTCCCTACAAGTGTCCACCTAGCCGTGGAAGGCACCGCCTGGGCAGGAAATGAGTCCTCTGGCATTGGAGGCATGCAAACTGAAGCAGAGATGGGAGGAGAGTCAAGGATCACATGCATCACTGGATTTTATGTGGTGTTACATCCCTGAGATTATTCACTTTCTTTAGCGTGTTTTTGTGGTTATTTCACCATCAGACTATTCTCCTTGGTTTACTTCGCAGCGGGGTGGGGGCGGGTTGGGGGGGTAAATTGTCATGTACAAGGTTTCCCTTCAGCTCTCCTGAAGCAAATTTCCAGGTGTTTCTAGAGTCTGCTTTTCCTTGACCAGAAACCATCACAGACACACAAATTAGGGCAACAAATTAGATCTCATAGCAAGTTCCAGGAAGAAAAAAGTGATTTATCTGCCACAATTATTCTGGGCAAGCCTGCCGCTTTTGTGCATGACCGAGTGTCTGAGCGCCTGCATGGGTGTTTGTGGGCGGATGTGGGCGTGAACTTGGGCATTTTTCAGTCTGAGACCAGGACAGCGAGGCGTGTGGAGGGGATAGAAGTGTGACGGGAAGGGGTGTGGAGCAGGGGCAGGGGAGCTGGTAGGAAGAGGAGGGAAGATGAGAGTAAGTCTTGTAATGTTTTCTGCAAATTTTAATTTCTTATGAAAGAGCTGGTCCATGTAAAATGAGTTCTGTAAAATGAGACAATTGTTTCTTCTTTTTCTGAGAAATGAGCTTTCCATGAAAATCAAGTTACTGTTTCAATTAAACACACTTGAGAGCTGACTGAAAACAGAAATGCAGTTCAGTGACGCTGGGGGTGTCTAGGGAGTCAGCGTTTCCCACAGCACTGTCCAGGTGGGGTACACAGTGGGTCTCCACTCCCCTAGCCGTGTGGATGAACCCTCCCTCCTCTGAGCCCCAGTGAGGCTCAGGACCACATCTAGAAGGACGCTCACCTTATCTTGATTGTCTGCCTCTGCAGAACACAGCTTATCTCATCAACCAGGCCAGGAACGCCGCGGGCAGGAGCCCCACCCCCAGCACCAAGCGGGCTTAGCAGACAGAAGATCACATGGGTTTATGGAGGAGGAGGAGGATGAAGGCGTGTGAGACTCAGAAACAGAGGAGTCGTCAAGCTGCTCACAGAAGCCTGTGCTAGACTCTAAGGAGACACAGACGGCGCTTCTGCCCTGCCCGTCAGAGTGGGGTGGGGAGCAGACTGGTGAACTAACAGCTACAGCGTCCCTGGCTGGAGGGGTCCCAGCAGAAGCAATACTGAGCTAAAGGGAAGTGGAGGAAGGAGGGGTGCTTTCTACTCATAAACAGTCCCGGGGAACCTCCCAGAGGATAGATCTGAACTGGGCCGAGGAGGATGAGGAAAGAGAAAGGAGAGGAAGCCCCGTGCAGAGGCCAGGAGGTTGTGCAGGCCTGGGGCCTTTCAGGAGGGCTGGCTGGCCTGGAGGCAGAGGCCAGGAGGTTGTGCAGGCCTGGGGCCTTTCAGGAGGGCTGGCTGGCCTGGAGGCAGAGGCCAGGAGGTTGTGCAGGCCTGGGGCCTTTCAGGAGGGCTGGCTGGCCTGGAGGCAGAGGCCAGGAGGTTGTGCAGGCCTGGGGCCTTTCAGGAGGGCTGGCTGGCCTGGAGGCAGAGGCCAGGAGGTTGTGCAGGCCTGGGGCCTTTCAGGAGGGCTGGCTGGCCTGGAGGAGGGTGTGAGAGGAAGCAGTGGCAGGGAGCTAAGAGGTAGGTCAGGAAGGGACTTGAAGATCTGCACACGGTGAAGTTCCATCCTGCAGGCATGAGGGAGCCAATGGTGCTTTCTCAGTGGGAAGACAGTGAGTGATGAGAGCTTGCTCTCAGAAGATGGACTGGCAGGTGGGTGGAGGCTGGACTGTGAGTGGGGAGAAGGGGCATCAATGGGGGCCTGATGCCACCCTGGAGGCAAGGAAGAATGAATGTCAGGCCAGGGCAGAGAGAGAGGTGAGAGATGTGGACTTAAGATTGGCCGCAGACCGATGGTGGCAGGAAAGGGAGAGGAGGGGGGGAGTAGAGAAGACTGTTTCTGAGTCCAGGTGACTGGGTAGGTGGCAGGGCCATTCCTGGAAGCTGGGAACGTGCAGGAGTAGACGAGAGAAGATGCTGAGTGCAGGTTTGGGCATAGAGAGTCCCGGGGAGAGACATCCAGCCGGGAGGACCAGGAGGGGGACCAGGTCAGCCTCAGAGGACAGACAGGCAGGATGGGCCTGGGGGTTCCCGCTATGACAGCGCCCCTCCCCCTCTCCCCGTACCTTCTCCCCTTTCATGCCAGGAAGACCAGAGGCTCCATCAAGTCCAGGCTTTCCCTCAGGGCCCTAAGGAACATCAAGGACAATCAGCCTGCAGTATCTCTGATAAGGATCAATTACAGACCCTCTTTGGAAAAGGAGGCCAGAGCTGAGAAGACCCAGCGGGTGAGGCCGGTGGGTCTAAAGCCCCGTGTCAGTCTGTAGCGGAACAACTGTCCCACCCACAGCCTGCCACCGCAGGCTGCGCACCTGTAGACGAGTGTCCCTCACTCTCTGGGCTGTGTTTTCTCTTCTGGGGGGAGTCGGGGGCAGGGCTGGACTAGATGGTCTCTGGAGCCTCCCACCCCAGGCCAAGCACTGATGGACTATGATTCCAGGGTTTTACATATTGCTCCTTAGAAGATGGGGAAAGTGAGGCTCAGTGAGATGCCGTGACTTGCTTAAGAGCTCACACACACAGCTAATGAGGAGAAGAGCTGAGATTTGGACCCGAGTCTTCTTAAGCCCATTAGCTGATGTTTTCTCCCCAGATGTGTATACAACAAAGAAGCAACGTGTCGGAATTCTCAGAGGTGCTCTGCTTTAGTTTTCTGACTACCTGAGAGGTTAGTCCAAAACTGCCTATTGTTAGAAAGTGAAAGGGTTAGTCACTCAGTTGTATCCAATTCTTTGTGACCCCATGGACTATATAGCCTGCCAGGCTCCTCTATTTATGGGATTTCCCAGGCAAGAATAATGGAGTTAGTAGCCATTCCCTTTTCCAGGGGATCTTCCTGACCCAGGAACCGAACCCAGGTCTCCTGCATTGCAGGCAGATTCTTTACTGTCTGAGTTAAGGCCTATTGTTAAGCCTTATTAAAATACCCCTGCAATGTACTAGTCTTTTTAGCCTGGGGCTGGGTTTGGACGTTCTAAGTGGGTCCTGTCCCACTCATCCAGCAGGTCCTGAACACTTCCAGCCCTGTCATGACGAGTGGGCAGAAAGGCAGCTGAGCAGAGCCCTCTAGATGGGGATTCTTGACAGGGGCTCAGAGGAAGGGACGGAACGAGGCTGGGGCTCTGAGGACAGATGCATGAGATTCAGCTGAGAGGAGAGGTGCTCCCAGGGGGAAATCTAGAGGGACCAGTGGGGGCCCGGCCTTGGGCAAGAGGCTGGGGCAGTGAGTTGCCAAGGAGGCAGAAAGAGTGGTCTGGAGAGAGAGGGGCGTGGCTGCCCCGGGGTAGGAGGGTTTTGAGAAGAGCCTGGAAGCCAAAGTGTGAAATGCCATGTAGAGAAGAGGCCAGCGGGTCTCTGTGATGGGTAAGGGGGTGGGGGGCAGAGCCGGTGGCAGAGGTGAAGGTCGTGGGCATACCTGCTGTGGAAGAGCTGCTAGCAGGAGCAGGCTGCCAGGGGAAGGAGGCAAGTGTAAAGTGGGGCTCCTGACGATAAACCAAGGTCAGACTCACTTAAAACTGACCAAAGATGGAAATGCCGAGCATACGTAAACGCAGATGGGAAGCATAGTGAGTCCCAGGAGCCCACCGCCAGCCTCAGCAGCCATCTGCAGAGGTCAAGCTGGTTTCATCTGTTGTCAGTCCCTGTGTCCCCCTCCCGGATCCTCGCGAGGCTGCCCTCCTCTCGCCACCCGACACCAGGCCTTTGAGCGCTTCACACTCACTCTCAGCAGCTCCTCAGTGTGCACCAGGTCACCAGAGCCGGAGCCGACATCCAGGCCCCAGCCCAGGCTGGAGCCCTCAGCCTGCAGAGAGAAAAGGATCCCCGGCTGGGTGTCACCATCGCGCCCCAACGACAGGCCTGTCCCTGACAGCTTCCCGGCATCCTGGGCCCCTGTGACGGCCGCTGCGGACTTCCCTCTGGCTCTTAACGCCCGGTCCCCTCTGCGCTGCCCTCCTCCTTCTCTCCCTCCCAGCTGTGCGGCCGACGTACGGCCGGTGCTCACACACAGGACACTTTCACAGCCTCTCATCCTCTTCCTGCGTTTCCAATCCCCACTCATCCTTCAAGGTTCAGTTCCATGGTCACCTCCTCCAGGAAGCCCTGCCCAACCCCGTTTTCAGACAGAATTCGCCTGTCCTGTTCTGTGTCCCACCAGCCTCTGTGGAGGTCTGGATTTGGCTGTAGGGCCACCTGGCTTTGAAGCTCAGCTGTGTGTGTCTGTCGGCCCCGCTGGGCTGGGACTCCAGAATTGGCCCAGTCCTGAGACACCTCTGGGTGCCCAGGGTCCATCATGAGATCTGGCACCAAGAAGGCACTCAATGTCTACTTGTTGAATGTCATCAAATTCCTCCAAAGAACAAAAGGAAACTTCCAAAACACCTTTCTGGTACTTAACTCCTGAGGCTGGGCACCAGGCAAAGCCTCCTTCAATCATCAAGGAAGGAGGATCTGGGACAGGGCTTAGAGCTGGGTCTGGGCGGGTTGCGGTGGTGCGCGTGTGGGTGGGAGAAGGGAGGTGATGACGCGGAGGTGGGGAGGCAGTGAGGAGGCTGCTGTCACCGTCCGAGGGGTGAGGAGGCGCTGCACAGCTAGGCTGAGGGGCTTGGGGACTGACTGGATCAGGGAGGCGGGGGAGGCACTTGAGGACATTTCCTGGCTTCTCTCTCGGTGATCAGGAAGATGGGGTACCACTCCCAGAACGGGGGAACCCTGCAGGGAGAGCAGGCCTAGGAGCACGGTGACAAGTTCCGCTTGGGATGCGAGGGACCCAGGGGCCTTTCCGGGCACAGGATAGAAAGGCGCTTTACAGATATAAGACTCCTGGGCTCCAGGAGAGAGTCCTGGTCCAGGGGTGAGCGCCGAGCTCTGCCTGGAGGGCACTTGGGAGGAGAATCCTCTGTGGCTGTTTCCTGCATCCCTGGCCCCCGCACTTTGCGCACGCGACAAGCATGGGTAGGAACCTCACCGTGGGTTCAGGAGGCCCGGCAGGTCCAGGGGGGCCAGGAAACCCCTCCTCAGCTTCACCCTAAAGAGAACAAGATGTCAGTGGAGCACTGGGCACCCCTTCCTCCCGTCCCCGTCTCTCTGCAGAAACGACGCTCATCTTCAGAGGAGGCTTATGCAGGAGCTTTATAAACCTAATTTGTTGAGCATGTACCACATGCCAGGTAAAATTTTCCAGGTATTAGCTCATCTGATTCTCACCACGCCCAGGGAGAAGGTCTACATCCCCATTATACACACAATCAGACAGAGGGGTGTGGCAGGGCCAGACGTGGGTGTCCCTCTCACCCGTTACCTTGGGTGAGTCTAAGATTCAAAATCATCCAAAAGATACTTCAGAGTGGGTGCTCCTGTTACTGTCTTTGTTGTGTTTTTAAACCTTTTGCTGAGGCATCAGGGTACCTATTTCAGCTCGTCACAGATTCCAGACCCAGGCACTCAGGGTGATGTATCTTCGCAGGTTATGTGCAGGATGGAATGCCGCACACTCGTCTTTCCCTTTCTCCTTTCTCCCCCCTCCCCATCTCTCCTCCTTTTCGTTGTTGCTTAGATACTAAGTAGTATCTGTTTTATGACCACACGCAAGGCTCTTCTGTCCAGGGGGTTTCCCAGGCAAGAACACTGGAGTTGGTGGCCGGTTCCCCTTCTGGGGACCTTCCCGACCCAGGGGTGGATAGCGTGTCTCCTGCACTGGCAGGCAGATTCTTTACCACTGAGCCACCAGAGAAGCCCCAACCTCTCTTCTTAGAAATTTTAAAAAATTTCATTGGAAAAGTCAGAAGCACTCTTGGTGAAAACACCACCATATATTAAGAACTTATCAACCACCACCGTTCTGCTACTTTAAGGCCATACTTGCTGACATTTAGAAAGGGCATTTCCTTCCCAGGCTTTTGCATGTGTCTATTTTTAAATAGTTAAGACCACACAGTATACTGAATTTCATAACCAGCTTTTTTCACTTAGCATTATACAGTTAGTATTTTCCTCTGTCATTAAATACTCCTAGTAAGTTTAATTTTAATAGCTGCATAATGTCCCATTATTTGAACATCCTTGAATTCAGTTAACTCCCCTATTGTTGGCTAAACTGTATCCAGTTTTCTTTTTCCATTAGGGACAATACCGAGATTAACATCCATGTACAGAAAGCTTTTTTTAATATAAGACTACTTCTTTTAGCATTGATTCCTAGAACAGAAGTGTCTGGGTCAACAAAATGCAATTTATGGTGCTTATAAGTGTTGACACAGAACTTCTCAGAAGTCTCCAGCCACTGACATTGCCACCAGCATCATGGTCTCACCAGGTCCTTACCAAACACCAGCTTCTCAAAGCACAGAATATAAAGGCTCTAAGGACAACCGAACCAGGTTTCCCAACAAATCAACGGCAAAAAGAACAGAGTAGGTGGGAGACAATCATAGACTAAAAGAGACTTAAGAGACACATCAACCTAACAATGTAGGCCCTGTTTGGATTCGGAACCAAACTAACCATAAAAAGGCATTTTTAAATGGCCAGGGTATTAGATGATGTGAAGGAACCATGGTCAGCTTTGTTAGATGGATAATGACATCCATTATTACCTACTGATGGATGATACCATGGCAAAGGGGAAAAACGTACCAGGTCAACCTTTTAACAATACATGTTAATGTGTTTTTGAGTTAAATGATATGATGCTTGGGATTTGCTTTAAAACACCCCAGCCTTCCCCTTCCCTCCAGTCCAAAAAGATAGCTGTGGGAGGTGGAACAGATAAAAGGAAGATACATAATGTTGCTGACTGATGTATATGAGGGGGTTTATTATACTATTGTAAGTCCTTTCGGGACTTTTTAGAGTTGCCATAATTAAAAGGTTTTACAAGAAGAAGGAGAACTGGCTCTATGTGAAGGCACACGGCCAGCCAGCACAGCTGCCCCTGATGTGGCATCTCTGTGGGGAGATGCAGTCTTGGGGTTTCGTGTGCTCCTTGGGGTGAGGAGCAGAGGAGCAGGGGACGTCAGTTGGGGAGCCGCAGCACAGGCGCTGGGGCCACGGGCATCACAGCCAGCCTGGTGGGTTTCGTGTTCGTTGTCTAGTCGCGTCTCCTGGGAGCGTGAACCCTAGCACCAGGGGCTCCGCCACTGGCCTGGCAGTGGACTCAGACGCCTGCAGCAACCTCGGCATCCCAGGTGTCTCCAAGATGCAGAAACGTTTAAAAACCAGAGCTCTTGCTCACCTCCTCCTTTACAGAAAGCAACACCAAGACTCACCACAAGTCAGAACCTCAGCCTCCCGGCTCCCAGCCTGGGGCCTCCCCACTACACCACACTCTCGGGGATGCTCCGGGCATAAGCTTTGCAGGCAGCGTGCCTGGGCTCAAGTCCTGGCCCTGTGGACCAGCGGCATGCCAGAGCAGGCAGGTCCCTCTACCTAAGTGTCGCTCCCCTTGCCTGGGAAACAGAGACGACGTTCCTTGCACCGGAGAGTGCTGCTGTACATAGAATCAGATCAGCTTGGAACCAAGAGTGCTTAATAAATGTCCATGCAAAAGAATTATTTCCTGCCCCTTCACTGTGAGTTCCTTGGGGATAGGAATGAGGTCATATTCATCTCAGTTTCCCAGTGTATAGACTGAGTCTCTGAGTTGCTGTGCATTGAATCATGAGAACATCAACAAGTGAATGAACGAAAAATAAAGCGACACCGCAGAGCTTGATAAGCACCAGATGCAGGCGCAGTGGGCGCTTGGGACTTGCAGCTGGCTCTCGGATGCACCAGCCCGGGTCCCTCCAGTCCCCGGTCAGCCCTGGAGCACTGCGGCTGACGGACCCGTGCCTGGAGGTTGACTCAAGGCTCTGAAAGCATATGTGTGACCAAGTGCTACTCGCGGGGCTGGCAAGCCCACGCTGGTCACCAATGGAACACTTTCCTTTAAAAATATTGACACTTAAAGGGCAATTTAATTCCGCAGTCCACACGAGCCCACGCTGAGGACTGGCTCCGGGTTTCCCATTTCCCAAAGACAAAGTCACAGCCCTTAAGTACTGACAACCTCACACCTGCGCACGGAACTTTCCAAACATTCGCTGACCTGCATTTCTGACCTGACATCACAGCCTCCCTCTTTCACGGATGAGGAAACTGAGGCCCACAGAAAAGGATTTGCCTGAGGTCATATAGTTGCGACCCAGAATTATAGGAACTCGTGTTACAAGGCGCTGAAGGTAATGCGACCCTCTCCCCACCCCAACACACACACACACCTTTGATGTTTCTATTTCCTTGGCAGTCTCTGCCACATCTTACAAGCTTTCTCACCTTCAGAATGGGAATCTCATGACATTTGAAATGGGCCTTTGTACCTTTCGGCAGGTCTGCCTGTTAGACTCACTTCAGTTAAAGATGTGGGCAACTTGGGACACAAAGCCAGCTGCCCGAGGTTCTCTCCTCTCGCTTTATCTCTACAGACTGCAGAGTGTTTGCTCCAAAGCCCCAGTTCTGCATGTTGCAAACCAAGATGAACAGCCAGGCCCTTCCCAAGACTCCACCCTTTCTTTCCGTCCTGTCAGACTGGCCGAGTCAAACCTTCACACCTCTACGCGGAGTGAAATCCTCACTTACCGGAGGGGCCCCTCCTGCAGGCGCCACCGAGGGTGAGGGGAGCGGGGGCCCCTCCGGGGGGGCGCTGCCCAGCACGTCTGCCGCGGCCGCCGTAAGGGGCTCCTCTGTCGCGGCTGCTGCGGCGTCTTCGTCACCAGGACCCTGAGAAGCCAAAGCGACGTGAGGGCTCGTGTCGCCTCACCCACAAGGCCGCGTGCCCACCGCTGCTGGGGCGTTTTGTCGATGGTCCTTTGAGGGGTGCTAGCCCAGTTTCAGAGCGCTCGCCTGCCTACAACTGTCATTGCCCCCGACACGCTCACCGATGCACAGGCTCATGACCGTCTTCGGAAACGTGCGCCTCCTCGAAGCCCGCCTCCCCAGCAGGGCTCACTGCCTCCCCCACCCCAGCAACGCGGCCTAAAGCTCTCCTCGGACAAAGCTGGGCGTAGGAGGGTCAGGACCAAGCCTGCTCCCCGGCCCCCTCCGCCACGCGCCTCAGTTACATCCTGCCTCCCTCTGTTGGTGCCCACCTAAATCCGCGCCCTAACGAGGTCGCCTGTGCATCTGGCTCTGGGAAGGCCAGCAACTTCTCCAGTCTCATGACCCTGACCTCCCTGCCCACTGTGAGCTGGAAAGGATGCCAGGAGACACCTACAGAAGTGACCCCTCGCTCGGGGGCCGCCGTGGGTGTGACGAAAGCCAGGTCATCGGTGGGGACCCCGCTGGCCTCTTCTTCCTCAAAAGTGCCGAGCGGCACAGCTGCTGTTGTTGAAGAGCCTTCTTCACTGATTGGACTCTGAAAGGAGATTGGGGCAAGGGATCGTCCACCTCATCCACACCCTGGGATGCTGGGTGTGTGATCGCAGGGAGGAAACGACTGAGGTCATCAGACAAAAGCATGGCCATAGCTCATCTGGGACCAGCCTTAGCCCACAGACCCCCCAGAACTCCAGGCTTAGAATGCACCCCTCAGGTCATCTCCTCCCTGCCCCAGAGTCCCCTCCAAGACATCTCTGCTGGAAGCACATCTTCAGTGACGGGAACTCCCCGCCTGCACAGGAAGCCCTTCTATCTCCAGACAGCCCTGCTAGTTTAGTTTCTTTTCAGTAAAGACGGGAACCTGATCCCCAGTTTTCTCTCCCTGTGACAAGGGATTTGCCTTTAAAGAAGAAAGGAAAGTAAAGGGGGGGGGGGAAGCAAGGTGAAGAAGAAGAGGAAGAAAAAGAAAGAGCAGGTGATAGTGACGATTAGTTAATTAAAATAATCCACGTAACCACCAAGTGGCCTGGGGAGCCCCATCACCTGGCACATGCATACCCTCCCCACTGTAAAGTGTCCTTGTCTGGACATCAGTACCAGAGGTGAAAGGTCGAGAACAAATGTGTGGAAGGATCTCAAAGACCAGTGTTGGTGTGTGACGGCCTGATGACCCCTGCTTTCACACACTCAGCAAGCATCTGCTGAGTCCCCAGCATCCGGAGGGATGCAGACAGATCTATGAGCAAGATGTGTGTGCTCCCCAGCCTCGCAGAGCCCACAGCCCAGCTGAGAGCCAGAAATGAGCAATTTACCAAGTCTACTCTTAATTACGATTGTGCTGAGGCTTCCCAAGGAGACATTCGGGGCTGCTGTGAACGTGTCTGACAGGCAGACGTCACAGCCTGGGAAGCGCCTTCCTAATAAAGTGATGTTTGAGCTGAACTCTAAGGATAAGCAGGAATTAAAGGAGGGAAGGTGGAGGAGGAAAAGGTCCAGGCAGACAGGAGAGGGGGTGGGAGACCAGCCCACTCACAAGGCTGGGATCTGCTCCCAGCTGTGACCCGCAGCCTTCCAGCACATTACACTCTTTACCAGAGTGACCGCTTCTCCAGGGTCCTGGGTGGGCATAAGGAGGGTGAGTCCCCCGGTGGGCACGCTGCCGGCTTCTGCTCCCCTGGAAATGCTGACAGGCTCCTCGGCCTCCCCGGCTGCTGTTGCTGCCGAACCTTCTTCGTTTTCTGGACCCTGAGTAGCAAGACATCAGCAGGGCCACCATCACTGACCTGCTGCGCTATGGCTGGAAGGAACGGAAACTGCCCTCCCTGAGGCCACCAACCGTCACTGTGACAGATCTGATGGATGTTTTCCAGGCCTTTACTCACTGGGATTCTTGGCAGGAGGTGGCATCACTAACTACCCCTGCAGCAAGCAACACCCCAGGTCCAGACCCAGACGTAGCCCCCAAACCCACCTGCCCACCTCCCGGCTTGCTTCCTTCTTTCCCTACTCAGGAGTCAAGGGATCTAAGATCCTGCTGCGACTACGTCACTTCCTCCGAAATACCCTTCGGGGACTCCCCACTTCTGCTGAGTGTTCCCAGCATCTGTGGGCTCGGAGGCCTGTCCAGCCGTTTCCCTCCCCACTGCGCGCCTGGCCCACAGGCGTGCTGCACTTGTGTAGGACTTTTGTGTTCATCTTGATGCCTCCGGCTTCTGCTCCTACTGGCCTGCCTCCTGGAACACCTGTCTCACGCCCACCATGAGGCTACTTCTAAGCATCCCCCTGGTCTCCCCCTCAGCACCCCTAACCCAGAAGGGCCTCCTGGACCCCCAGCTCTGGGTTCTGGGCCCCCTTTGGGGGTTCCCCTGTGCTCCTCCCATCTCACCTCACCCCTCTCGGTCCCCCGGGGCCGGGTCTGTCCTTTTCACCTGGGGCCCACCACAGCACAGTACTCCACAAACAGCTGCTGAATCAGTCAACGGAGGCCTGGGCCTCCAAATCCGAGTCTACTTGGACTTGGCCCCACAAGGCTACCACCCTGTACTTTGCAAGCAGGTGAGGAAGACCAGTGACTGCTCCCACTCGAGATGCCACCGAACTCCAGAAACAAGTGAAGTAGAACACGCACGCTGAGCTGCTTACCGGAGTGACGCCCTCCCCGGGGTCCTCGGCAGACATGGAGAGCGTCAGTCCCCCGGCGGGCACGCTGCTGGCGTCTGCTTCCCCAGCAGGGCTGGCGGGCACCTTGGCCTCCCCCGCCGCTGTGGCTGCCAAATCTGTGTATAGACCCTGGGGACAGAGACATCACTCGGCACCGGCTCACTTGCCCACAGCCCTGATCAAGAAGGCCGTGGCCGGCAATTTGCATCTCGGTAGCTTCTTTCCTCAAAGTACTTTCTCATCTATGACGTTGCCCCAGCTCCACAAAAGCCCCCAGAATCCCAGTGGCGGGAGAGACTGCAAGGCCCCTGGGCCTTCCATCTGATTCCAAGCATCTGTTTGCCACACCAGCGACTGGGAGATCGCTGCCTCCTGAGACATCTGCCCGAGGACTAGACACTTCAGTCGAGCCCGTCTGCCTCCCCTGACCGCTCTGTGAGCCCATCCAGGAGCACAGGAAAAGGGTGAGTGTCCTGCCCCACGACAGTGCTCCAGAGACATGTAGGCAGAAACCCTGTCCTCCTCAGCCTTCTCAAGACTGGGTACCACTCCCTCTCCCCGTGACTCCGTTTCCTTAGAAAACTCACAAGCAGATTCTCTGAAGGTCACACAGCAGATGCGGGATATGATGAGAAAGAGCGGCTTTGCCTGCTGGTGTCACCAAACCAACTGTGCTTTATCTCGGTTTCACAAAGGTTTGGTTTTTGAAAAAAAATCTGGGGTGGGGTTTTGCTGTTTCATTGCAGAAAATAGTTCTTTTGATACTAAAAACACTAAATTGATCAGAGTTAGATTTCTTTGCTGAAGGACTTAGAGCCTATAACCAGAATACAGACAGGACCATTTCCCAAACTCACTGGGCTACAGAACTCTCTTCTCATATAACATTAAATCCTTATAGAATTATTGTCCCCCCAAAAACAGAGAAAAGATGATGTCATAGGATTTTAACATGTTATTGACCAGCGGATTTTTGCAGAAACTAAGGCCTTTGGTTGGTGATTTGTTGTATAAGTGAATATTGAAACACTCCACTCAATAATGTTTGAGTAGCAAAAGACGCATTAATACATCTCTGGTCAATAAGTTGTTAAAATGAGATTTTATTCTGACTCAGTGTCAGCTAAAGTTCCAAAGGGCAAGTATAATTCAACAGGCTTCAGATAACCTCTGTTAACCTCTAAAAAATAAAGGAGCCAGACTCCTTATGTGGGACATGCATAGAGACAATGAAAGGAAACGGAATCAGCTCTATCCTATCCTACTGGCCGGGCTATGTAAGAAAAGGGAAAGAATTCATTTAGCGGCTAAGCAATTAGAGAATAAGAATCCCTTTCGGCAGTTCCCTAGTGGTAGTGGATGGGAACCAGCCTGCCAACAGGGAACACAGGTTTGATCCCTGGTCCAGGAAGGTTCCACGTGCCGCTGGGCAGCTAAGCCTGCGCACCACAACTGCTGGGCCGGCGCTCTAGTGCCTGGGAATTCAACTCCTGAAGCCCACCTGCCCTAGAGATTGTGCTCGACAAAAAGGGAAGCCACCACAATGAGAAGCCCACGCACTGCAATGAGGAAACCCTGGCTCACCATGACTAGTGAAGGCAACAAAAACCCAGCACAGCCAAAAATAAATAAATACATTTTAAAAAATTATTAAAAAAAGCTTCCTCTGGAGACAACGTCCTGTGTGCTGTGGCTCCCCCCTCCCTCCACCACCTGTTTCGCAGAATGCATAGCCTTTGGACTTGGGAGACAGAGGGACTGGTGTTTGTTCCTTCGGGGAGATACCAAGGGCAAAAGCAGGCAGCCATCTAGACGCAGAGTGGAGAGAGAGACAGAGAGAGCTGTCCTGCTGCTGCTTTCCTGGTGATAGGATGATAACAACCGCTCCAAAAAGAGCGATTAAAGCCGTCCTGAGGTGAGCTCAATCCACAGGGCCCCCTAGAGGTTCAGGGTGACCAGAGGGCGGGAGCCCAGGAGGAAATTAAAAGGTCAAAAATGTACTAAGGTCCTAAATCCCTTGCAGGAGGACCTCTGGGGAATCACAAAAGCCCCCATGAGAGAATATTCCAACAATAAGACGTCTTCCCCACAAAAGGCCCAGATCATAGTCTTGAGCAGCCACATAAAACTGTGCCACTTTCTCCAGATGGGCCAGGCTCTGCAGATGCTGAAAACAGCTGCTGAGGGGTGGGTGGTGATGAGAGAGAGGAGAAAGAAGTAAGAAAATAGACAGGAAGTTCCCGTGCTTCCTTCCCTGCCTGGCTCCTAGTTGTATCTGTATTTTTATTAAATTTTTTATATTATGCTGAACTGCATTTTGGAAATACCTGTGAAAATAGGCTGTTTACCAGACAGTGACTGGGAGAGAAGTGTCTTGAATTTTCATCCCAGGAGAGGGGAAGGAATGAGCTGACACACAGTTCTTAGCAAAGGCCAGAGGTGAGAAGGTTCTGAGTTGGAGAAGGAAATGGCAACCCACTCCAGTATTCTTGCCTGGAGAATTCCAAGAACAGAGGAGCCTGGCAGGCTACAGTCCATGGGGTCTCAGAGACGACACGACTGAGCAACTGACAGAGGTGAGAAACATGTTTTAATCTGGCACCCTCCCATGTCCAGTATTTTAAACAACTGGCTTTGCACGTGTAAAAGCCAGTTTCCAAACAATACAGCGGACACACCTGCAATAAATCTGATTCTATCCTGAAGGGGCTCAAAGGGCGGAAGAGGCTGTGCATCTTCACAATAGGAGGGGGTCAGGTTCTGTGTTGAGAACCCAGTGTTCACCTCTGGGGAGGTCTGAGGACCAGCCTCAGCTGTGTCTCCTCCCCTGTCCTGGCACATCCTTGGGGAGCATCTTGGGCCCTGGGACCCCCACCTCCTCTGTACCAGAAAGAGGGAGGCAGTCTCCATGGTGGTCACCTAAAGCTCTTGCAGCCTTCTGCAGTGCCCAAGACAAGTCACCATCAAGTCTGAAAGAAGCAAGCAAAGGTACTACTGACTTACATGAAATTTACCATTCACTCACCTCTTCAGTGACATGCAGGAAGGCCCCATCCCCTGAGCCAGTGTCTGTAGCCGGGGAACCGTCCACAGTCTCAACGGTCTCCACTGTGCCATTCAGGATCTCACCGGACCCTACAGGAAGCAGGCAGTTTTCAATGAATAACTGCACTTTGTAAGTGAAAAAGAATGAGGTTTCTTTTCATCTATGACTTGAAAAGATGTTCGTAACACAGGATTAAGAGGGGGAAAGTGTTGCAGAAAGACTCTGAAAGGCAGTATTGCAAGGTGGTTTCCATCACAGGCTCTAGCATCAGCTGTAGGGTCAGAACCCAGCTCTGCCGTCTACTAGGAATGTGACCTGTGGCAATCATTTAACTTGTGGCTCAGGTTTATAAAGAAGGGATTGTAACTCCTATCTCATAGGGTCATTTTGAAGATCATGTGTTACAAAGATTAAACTAACGCAAGCACAGCACTGAGGACAGTGCCTGCCACACAGTTAGCAATGGGTAAATGTTCATTGTCAGTGTGGTTCTATATTTGTAAAAGGAAAAAAATATTTGTATAGAATACATGCTTCATTATCTTTAGATATATTATCACCAATATATAATTACTATATTATTATACATAACATATAAAATATATAGATACATACATATACGTGTGTGTGCAGATAAACCACACATACTAGGCTAAACCACAGTACTTGATATTGGTTTCCTCCAAAGGACAGGAGAGGAAACTACCACTTTTTTGGTTCGTACGACTCTGCATTGATTGAACTGTTACCGCAAGCACATATTTCTTTTGCGATTTAAGAAACAAATGGAGTCCTGAAGCAAAGAAAAAGACTTTAAGCGAACGCGACTGCCTGCCTGTTGTGGGCTCGGTCCCAGGCTAACTCGGGCCATGCACTCCCTCCTGGAATCCCCTGGCTGGCCCATCGGTGCTCCCGACAAGGGCCTCCCTCCACCGCACAGTCGGCGGGCAGAGCCGAGGTAGGAGGCCCACGCCTTCAGTCTCCCACTGCCACCCCATGGCGTGTGATCTGCACATTAGCACCCTGTGATTATCAGTCCCATTTTGCAGAGGAAGAACAAGGTCCCACACGAGAGGCTGGGAGGGGCCCTGCAGCCAGCCATTCACACACATGCTGTGCTCGGCCACACCCCGCGGCGAGGACGCGGTCCAAGGGAGGTGCTGAACTATTGAGGGGAAGCTGTGCCCACGTGCAGCTGTGAACGTCCTGGAGTCATCAGCCCCTCGCCTGTCTCTCTCGCAGTCTGCCCACTCTGGCCGCCAGGCGGCGCTGCGCAAGCACCGGGGGACCCCAGGCCTCCGGTCCCCACCCCTTGACGGGTGATGGTGAGGGTGGCCCGATGTCCTGTGCCGGGATGGCGAGAGCGGCCCTTGGAAGGCAGTCTTGGGAGGCTTTCCAGGGCTGGGGCTCGCGGTCCAGCTCCTTCCTCTAAGGATCTCTAGCCAGCTCTGCCGTATCCGCCCGGCGTCTGTCTGCCACAGGAGGAATCTGGCAGACGCTGGGAACAGGCGAGCTGCGCTCAGACTGGGCCCCAGCTCCTGCGCACTCACTTCTCGGAGAGGCCTCGCCTCCGACCCCGCAGCCTCTGCCCGCTCCTTGCTCCTCTCTCTGTGATCCTAATCACCCCCCGGAGAGCAGCAGGCGCAGCTCACAGACCACCTCCAAACCCACAGCGGCAACACTCAACCCTCTCATCCACCCGGGAGGCAGGGCTTGTGAATGCTCCCGGAGGACTCAGGAGGAATCCAAAGCTTGGAAATGTTGAGCAGCCTTCCCAGACAGCAAATAGCTGGCTGAGCAGGGCTTCCGTCCAAGGGTCTTCTCTCAGCCCGCAGTCTTTCCACCGCTACGCCCTGACTCCTTGCTGGTATTGTGACTTTATTACATTATTACACAATTTTTTTATTCAGTCCTGTATACCTTCTCTCATGAACAGACTTCCCAAGTTTACTTGCTAAAATAACATTCATTTACTGATGACAGTAAGTGTTAGTTGCTCAGGCTTGTCTGGCTCTTTGCAACCCCATGGATTATAGCCCACCAGCTTTTCTGTCCAGGGGATTCTCCAGGCAAGAATACTGGAGTTGTTAGCCATTTCCTTCTCCAGGGGATCTTCCTGACTCAGGGGTCGAACCTGGGTCTCCTGCACTGCAGGCAGATTCTTCACCATCTAAGTCATATTTTTAGACTTATAAAATACAGAAGAAAAAAGAAAATGAAAACGACCTATAATCATGCCACCCAGAGATAACTACTCACAACATTTTGTTGTATATCATTCTAACACACACACACACACACAAACACACACATACAGCTCTACGTGGCAATATATAAATAGATATAAGTAACATATATTCAGTGGAGAAGGCAATGGCACCCCATTCCATTGCTCTTGCCTGGAGAATCCCATAGACGGAGGAGCCTGGAAAGCTGGGGTCCATGGAGTCGCTGAGGGTCAGACACGACTGAGCAACTTGACTTTCACTTTTCACTTTCATGCATTGGTGAAGGAAATGGCAACTCACTCCAGTGTTCTTGCCTGGAGAATCCCAGGGACGGGGAGCCTGGGGGGCTGCCTTCTATGGGGTCACACAGAGTCGGACACGACTGAAGTGACTTAGCAGCAGCAACATATATTCATATTTAGGGTCATAGCACACATATAGTTTTGAAAGCTGCTTTTCCTACAGAGTTCACCACGACCATGTCCCTGGGTAATTAACTCTTCTGTGTCACCAATTCCAGGGCTGCACGTGTGAATGTGGGGGGTCTTGTACTTAAATCTCGGTGCTCTGGTGTTAGCTATAACTTACTTCAATTTGAATAGCTACCCCTCTGATAAAGGGCAGAAAACGCAGGTTGATCTCAGGCTGTGGGCACATGTCCACCTGCTGCCTGGGGGATCTGTCAGACTGTGGCCTTCTGCAGGGGCTCCTCTGTATGGCTGAGCAATGCTGAGAGCCTTGGGTGGGGAACTGGGAGGCCAGGGCCTGCTGATAACTTCCTGGGTGTCTGCCATTCTCTGGCCATCAGTTAGTTTCTGACAAGTGCCAACACGAGTTTACATGGCCTGATCCTCTGAGAGTCGGTGAGTTTGTGGCCAAGGCTGGGAAGACTGGGGATTCTGGAGTCAGGCCTGAGTGCTGGCTCAGTTCCACCACTCATTAGCTGTGTGACTGTGGACATGTTGCTCACCTATCCAAGCATCAGTTTTTCCATCTGTAATATCCTGGCTAATACTACCAACTAGGAGATGTGTTGTGGGGATTGGAGAGGAAGTATATAACACTTAGCACACAGTAGGTATTGAGTAAACAGTCACAATGATCACAAGCTTTTCACACCCCAGGCCCTCCTAGAGGGGTGGAGTCTTGGGTTGAAAAGTTCTTGGCATCAAGATTAAATGCCAGCTCTGCCATTTATGAGCTGTACAGTCTCAGCGGGGTGATATCACTTCTCCATGACTTGACTTCTCCATCTTATTTGTAAGATGAGGATGATTGCCGCCCCTTACTCAAGGTTGAGGGGAAAGTCAAGTGAGATGCTCCACACATAATTCATCTGTACATAAACACATCACCCAGTCATCACTCAACATAACCCACTGAGTATGAAGGCGCTCCAGGGACTTGCCTTGCTCAGGGCTGCTGTGCGGGGCAGCACTCAAGTCGCTGGTTTCCGTGGTCCCTTCAGGTACAGGCTCACCGGAAAGCTCTGCATCCTCAGAGGCAGGGGATGGAGTTGGAGGTGTGTGTATGGGTTCAACTTTTGCTTCTTGAGACTGCAGGGAGGAAAAATGAGACCCAAAAGGATTTACTTGGCATGAGAGCAGAAAAGATGGTGATGAATATCACTGGAGAAAACAGTATCTCCACAAAAGCTGAATAAACCCAGAAAGCTTTATCCTGCCTATTGTGTACCTGGGTCATCACTGATCTTCCCCAGTCCCTGAAACAGGTGCATGTGGAGGTAATTAAATTTTGTTCAGTTTACAGCGAGACTCTGCGACTCTCGGATGAAGCTCTTGGAGCACATGCCTGTGACCCCTGTATCCCAGGCCAGCAAGGAGAAGGTGCTCAGTGAAGATGTGTTAGAGGGAGGAGACAGAGGGAGGAAGGACGGAAGGAAGGAAGAAAAGAAGGGAAAGAGGAAGGAAGGTGGGGGGGGGGAAGAAGGAAGGAAGGGAGGGAGCAATGGGGAGGAGGGCTGTGTTCAGTGAAAGCTGGATAAATCCAACCCCAGATGTATACTAAGCATGCAGGCCTACGAAAATGAAAGACACGTATGGTTTCCTTTCTAGGAAACTTCAGTTTCTGTGCAGCTTTTCCAAAGCCAACCTATATTTTAACCACCTTTGCCAACTAGAAAACAACAAACAAAACCACCAACAGTTGGTTCAGAGACCTAGGTAGAAATCCTGATAAAGGGTAGCAAAGCTCATCCCCAGACCCAGAATCAAATAGCAGTTCCTGTGACCCAGGGCTCATCGGTGGTCAAACAGTCTCATCATTTTCTGAGCTCAAGGGACTGGGGTGAACAGAAGGATTCTGCCGACCAGTGTTGGATCTGTGGTATGAACAGGACATAACTAAGACATTAAGGTTTCAGGGTAAATTTCTTACCACAACCATCACTTACCTATCGTGACTAATAACAGAAGGTTATTTCCTTAAGGTCAGAACCTAGTATATAAATGATGAGTCTCTAGTCCATCAGAACAAGGGAGATTCTTATGGGCCCCACAACTTAGGATTTAATGGTTCAGTTCTCATAATCAAACTCAGGTCTAATCCCAACTCCCCTCTTATTAGCTATGTTATGTTGAGTAAGTCATATAACCTCACTGAGCCTCAGCTTCCTCCCCTATAAAATGGGGCCAATAATAACTACTGAAAAGGTATCAAGTGCACGGAGGTGCTTGGTACAGGGCCAGGTCCACAGCATGAGCCCATAAATGGTGACCATCATGCACATCACTAGATGTGATTTCTCTGGGTATTGATATTAAAGGTAATAATTATGTTTTTGCCATCTGCATGTGTTTTTTCAATAATGAATATGGAATATTTCTGTAGTAAAAAAAAAAGATGCAATTTACTGCACTATAAAGTTTCCAAGGTGAGAGCAAGGATGGAAGGCTTTGAGAAGTGGAGGATTGAGAATAAACTGCTTCAGAAAGCAGGAACGGAGGAAGGTGCTGAGGGAAGAAGGGACAAGCGCTTGGAGAGGGTTGGAGGATGGGCAGGGGGATGAAGCCGGGGGAGGCAGCAAGAGGGATGGCACTGGCTCTTAGGTGAGAAGTGTGGGCTGGGCCCAGGAGCAGCAAACAGCCTCCCTTGGGGATCAGGACGGGGGAATCGGGCAGGTGTGTACTTTCGGGAGTTCACCCTGGTGTTGAGAGCATGGACCTGGGGGGCTGAGGTTTCGGCCAGGAGGAGGCACTGAAGAAGCCTGGTGAGGCAGGAACCAGGAGTGGGAGCAGGACGCAGGCACGCTCCCGCCCGAGGAGAGGCTGGGAAGAACCCCGAGGAAGAACTCCGCATTCCCAGCTGCATGCAGGCCGAGCAGAGCAGTAAGGACCTCTGCCCCAGGCAGACCCTCTCCTCTCCTCTCCCTGCCAAGGGTCCAGGGGAAGCCACTTCACACGCTTCCCTGATGGGGCCGAGAAAGCCCGCGTCTATCCTGGAGCAAGGCTGCTGGTGGCCGGAAGCCAAGTGGCTTCCTAAGGGATGTGGGATTTGAGACGAGGCAGGTGGGGCAGGGCAGGGTGCAGGAAACAGGACAGTCAGCCAAGGGTGGGCTCAGCTTAGTAACTCAATGTGGCAAACGCTGAGCGACAGGGAACCCCTGCCTCCAGCCTGCCAGCTAAAGACCTCTTTAGACAAACCCCCACCAAGGCAGCCATGAAGCCTGAGTTCACGGCAGAGCTGCTGAGCTGACCCTGGGCGCTCAGGGTCAGGGCTCCCGCCTCCCACAGGCTGCTGCTGGCTTTTAGGGGTTAGTGTGGATGGAGAACCAGTGTGGCCTGCGACAAAATGGGAATGTTGAGTCTTTAATTTTAAATTAAAATCTGGTAATTTGCTGGTCCACATTCAACACATATCTCTTGAGGCCCTACTATGTTCCATGGCTTGGCTGGTCCCTGGGATATGGAAATGAATTAATAAGAAGGGCGTCTGTCCTTGAACTGTTGGACGATCGGGGAGACACAGACCCAGACACTACGCGCTGCGAGACTACGGGATGGAGAGCCGCATGTGAGGAGGGGCGCGTGGCCGTGGCCTCCAGTGAGGGGCTTCGGACTGGAGCCTGGAGGCGTGCGAACCGGCCAGGCAGAGATGGGATGGGTGAGGGCCCGCCCGGCAAATGGAACTGCAGGAGCCAAGGCATAGACAAGGGATGAAAGGGCTGGGTGTGCTGGGCATCTGTGAGCCTCGGGCGCAGCTGGAAGAGAGGGCCTGGGTGTGGAGAAAAATCCTCTGCAGAGCTTTGTGTGAGACAGACCCTCAACCTCACTCCACTCATTCACGAATCTGAATGTCTGGGCGTGCGCCCAGGCAAGGGGCTTTTTTTAAGACCGTCTCCCAGCTCCGCCCACCCCCCATACATACACACGCTATATATAAACACATACATACACAGACAGACATATACACACACACTCAGGACTCCGATGCACAGCCGGGGCTGAGAACCAGAGGGCATTAATTCTAACTCAGCAAAGATAGACTTTCCAGAAATGGAAAGGTGTGCCAGCAGACACTGACATAGCAGGAGGATGCATGGGGCAGCAGGGACTCCTGCCCTAAATGGGGAAGGAGGCGAGGAGGGGCTGGCTTTCTAAGTCCCTGGGGCTCAGGCAGTGCATGGTTCAGCCTGAGGGTCATGGCTTGTATCTTAGAGGGTGGCAGGTTGCAAAGGGTGAGGACAGGGGAGTGAGATTCACTCCAAGAGAAAAGTCAGATAGACAAGGGAGGGGTGCGTCTGAGCCGAGGAGGGAAACTGCCCGGTCCCGGGGCGCGGAGCCGGGGAGGGGCACTTTCCAGGGCAGGCTGGGGGGGGCAGTCCCCAGCGGCCTGCACCCAGGCTGCAAGGCCGGCCCTGCCGCCTCCGGGCCGCACGCCCTCAGGCCACGCTCAGCACCGCGTGTGCCTCAGCGGCTCCTCCGGGAAAACACCGCCCTACGAGGGGGGTCACGGCCGTGCCTGGCCCGCCTCCACTCCCTGGCGCCCCGCGCTCTTAAGCCCCACGTCGGGTCCGACCCTCACGGCCACCTGGGCACTAGCCTCTCTGCCTCGCTCCGGGCGGTGAGCTGGCTCGCTGGGGGGCAGCATCAGACCAGACAGCCTGGAGGACCTCGGCGCCGTGCCCGGCTGCCCGACGTCCCGGACACGCCAGTGGGACGGCCAAGGGCTGACGGGCCCGTGGGACTGCAGCTCGGCTCAGCAGACATCCCGAGTCACCACCCAGGCGGGCACCGTGGGCCCCTCGCTTCCCCAACAAAACCGCCCCCCAAACGGCCGGGGGCCCCCAAGGCCCCCGGGGGCATCCCAGCAACACCACCCAGGCCAGCAGCACAGGCTCACGGCCAAACCCTACCCTAGCCCCAGCTCAGCCACACACCCGAGGCCCAGCCTCTTCCCTTCTTTGGACCTCACAGTTTGCTCCGTAGTTCCAGGGGCAGCTTTCTGGACTCCTCGCGACAGGAAGAGGAGACCGTTAAGTCCCTCTTACGCTAAGACTCTGGTCCTATTCTGCCCCGCCCTCACCTCTGTCCCTGGGGGTCTATGATTTACAGCCTCTGCCTTCTTTCCTGCTCCCTGCTTTCTGCCACCAGAGATGTGTCCATAGGCTGAGCCAGGCCAGTCTCGGAGATGGCTGGGGCTTCCATGTCCAGTGACTCAGACACTGCTGGCTGTTTTTATTAGAACAGGCTCCTCGGTGTCTCCACAGTCTGATTCAGTGCTTTCAAAACCACTTCCTTGTCTCGGCCGCGGGACACATTCCCAGGAGGGAGGAGGCCCACACCACTGGGAGGATGCTGCCTTTCCCACGGGAGCAGAAAGGAGCTCCTGGAAGGGCTCTGCGTCTCATAGGAGTGAGGACCCAAACTTCCCTCTCATAGCCAGAGCCCTGAACAAGTGTGACAGCAGCCACTTCCTGTGTGCCAGGGACTGGGCCGAGACCTCTCCCTTGCAGACCTCGTCGGACCTCACAAGGACCCCACAAGATAGCACTCTGACTGTTGTTTGGGGGAAGAGGGGCTGAGGCTCAGAGAGGCTGAGTGAGTCACCGAAGCTCACACCGCTGGGAGGCGATGGAGCAGAGTTTGCCTTTGGACAGCCCTCCCCTGGTCACAGCGCAGGGTGGCAGCTGGGTACTGGCATTCCCCTACACTGAGGAGTTTGCGAAATGCCCACTGGCCAGTATTTTCCTGACTTCCCCCGGTGAGCTGCAGAACGAAGTCACAGATGTGAGGACAGACTCCAGACCAAGACTCTGGGTGCTCTTGGACAATGCCGAGCCCTCTAAAAGCGGACCAAGATGCCACCACACAGAACCCAGTACTCACTGGGGCTTGAGTGTAGGTGACCGCTTCCAAGATCTCAGCTACTCCATCTGTCTCCTGGAGCCCGCTGGTCTCTCCAGATGCCTGTGTGGAGACAAATCATGTGGGCAGAGGGGGGAGAAAAGTTTATAACTGGGGAGTCATAGAAACAGACTCCTGCGGAGAAACAGGGTGCATGGAAAAGGAAAGATGTAGATGGAAGTGTACAGAGAAAGTGGGATGGAGGAGAAAGCACGTGATTTAGATGTTCTTTTTGTCTCCTTCCACATTTTCTTGCTCAAACAAACAAACAAAGAATACAGTCAATGTAGTCTCTCCAACAAACCTACTTACATTTTGCCCAAGTGCCCTCCCATCTTGATCAAAAGGCACCCCCTCTCTGCTGACTGTCACCAGAACTTCTCTCTGGGAACCATTACTTTGAAGAACATCCTCCCCTTGTTACCTAGTCTTCACAATTAGCCCCTGATGGCAGCCAGGACACCGTGTGCCATGATTTTGTAACCTACTGTGGACCCTTGGATTGTTTCTGTTCATGCAATTTTAATAGCACCATAGAGATGAAGCAATATATACACATGCGTTTTCCCTTCTCTCAGCGTCATGGGAATGCCAGGCTGGAATCATGGACTCGAGGAGAGCAAATATTCTCCCAGGGCCAAGCTCTACCTCTGAGGGGCTGGCTTTCCAGCACTGGCAGCCTTTTTTACGGGATGAATGAAAGCAGTTTATGCTTAGCTTTGGGGCTGACAGATAGAGGATCGGAAGGTCTACGAATACGCCATGCTGTGCTGGCCTTTGACTTTCCTTCTTTGTGCGGTGTCTTCTGCTGGGAATACCTTTTCTTCTTCATCTGGCTGACTCTTGCTTGTCACTGATCAGGTAGCAACTCCTTCCTGACCGGCTTCCTATTCTTCCTTTTCCACCTCCCCGCCCCCGTCTGACTTGCAGAATTTGGGTCTGAGGGCCAATCACACTCAGCTCCGTCACTGCTTTTGGGTATGTCTGAACACCGTGAGGATGCAGACCACCCCCAGTTCATCTCTTTACCTCCAGCATCTCCCTAGGTCTGTCACCCTGCATGTACTCAGTCAGTCCTAGAGGGAGGGGGGGAGGGAGGAAGACAGAAAAGGACCCATCTTTTTTTCCCTGCTTACCACCCCCTTTAACTGAGGAACTGATTCATTTGCCAAGCATAAAAGCTAAATTTAGGTTTGTTTTTATAAGAATTTACATTCAGAATGTCTTGGAATTTTTAACTTTTATTTTAGAATCCTGACACCCTTTCTTGGCAGGAAGTCTGGAAACCAGGCCATTGACTGGCACAGCCATGGAAGAACCTAACACCTTAGAAGAAACACAACTCCCCCCCCACCAACCCACCACCGTACACCAAAGACACGGCTGAAGTTCTCAAAAATAATAACGAAGCCAAAAAGCTCAAAATAGGACCTGATGCAGCGCTTGCCAGGATAAGGGATTTCAGAGCCTCCACGACGTTTGGGGTGAAAAACTGCCTGGGTCCCAGGCCCTCCTCTGGCTGCTGGGGCGTCAGGGCCCACTGTGGGGGTGACAGGGAGAAGTGGGGGGCTCACCGAGGACTCTTCGGCTTCGCACATCTCCTCGGGAGTCCTGGGGTCAGGGTGGATGATGAGCTGCTGCAGGGAGCCCTGGAGGAAAGCAGAGGGTCAGAGGCCACGTTTACAGCCCCAGTGTCAGCGGACACGTGGCTGCTTTTATACGGAGCAGAACCAGTGAGAGGACAGGAGTGAGAGTGCTGCTCGAGGCCATGGGAAAACCACGCCATCTCGAGGCCTGCGCTCACCACGGGGGACTCTCCCTGGGACAGCGTAAGACGAACCCCACTAACCAGAGGGGTCGTTGGAGAGCTCGGTGTTCAAAGCGCAGAGCAGCAGCAGCCCCCCAGCAGGCCCCCAGGTGCCGAACTTGTCAGCAAAGAGCCCTACAGTACGCGCCTCCCCCACCAGGAGTCTCTGCCCCTCGGCTCAAAGCTTCCCGGCGGGAGGGACTTGTCCCCAGGGCGGCTGTCCGCCAGGCTCCCTGCCTCCACTCTGCCTCCCCTCCCTACCCCCGGCAGCCCATTCTGCATGTGTGCTGGTGGTGTTGGTCGCTCAGCTGCGTCCAACGCTTTGTGACCCCAAGGACTGCAGCCCGCCAGGCTCCTCTGTCCATGGAATTCTCCAGGCAAGAATACTGGACTGGGTTGCCATTCCCTTCTCCAGGGGATCTTCCCGAGCCAGGGATTGAACCCGGGTCTCCTGCATTGTGGGCAGATTCTTTACCATCTGAGCCAGCCGGGAAGCCCATCTCCAAGTGAGAGCTTCAAAACTGTTCATTGGATTCCACCTTCCTAAAATCCATATTCCACTGTATTACAGATAAACCCAAACTCCAGCCCAGTCCTGTCTTGAATCAACTGGGAAGGTATCAGTAAGGATCAAAGTGAAAGTGAAAGTTGCTCAGTCTTGTCCGACTCTTTGCGAACCCATGGAGTATACAGTCCACAGAATTCTCCAGGCCAGAATACTGGATTGGGTAGCCGTTTCCTCCTCCAGGGGATCCTCCCAACCCAATAAGAACAGTGGTGACTAAATGAATGACTACAATAACTTGGGATTTGCTTTAGAATGGCTCATTCATAAAAATCCATTTTGACAGTAAAATCAGTCTTCCGATATTTTTTCAAGGCACATTGTCCCAAAGGAGAGAGCACAACTAGCTCACACTCTCTCATCTCAGCTCTTCCACCTTTGCAGAAAGTACATGCAGCCGTCACCTTTTCCAAAGATAAAATCACTGAAAGATATTACAAACCTTACCCTTTTTATAATACCTAAAAACAAAGTGCTTTCACACAGGCTAGCTCACATAAGTCTACAACCCTAAGTTTTCTAATCCCCACTCACAGATAAGAAAACACAGAGGATCAGAGAATTCAGCTGCTATCTAAAATCATCAGGCTACACTGAAAACTCAGGACTAGAGTCTTAGTTCTGAGTTTCAAGCCTAGCGTTCGTCCCACGAGCATGCATGCCTCTTTGAGGACATAAGGATAAAATGATGATAAGAGCAGTCGCTTGTGTTTGCTGCAGTGCCCAGCAGCCTCCTCATCTGCAAGACTTGAACTCACAGTGAATCTTTCCAGCCCCGTAGCTCCTGCGTTGCCCACAAAGATGCCCGCGCTGGGCTCGAACTTCAAGGCTTGGGAGGACCTCGGAAAGGGGACGCGGTCGTGCTCCTCACAGTCCACGAGCAGGGTCACTTCCTCGCCCTGGACGACCACAGCAAAGTAGCTCCACCTGTGGGTCATCACGGGCACCAGGAAGGCGGCGGCCTCGCGGGACACCTGGGAGCCGGGCTCCGTGTAGTAGAGGATGACCCGCTGGCGGCCGTCCTCCACGCCCGAGAGCCGCAGGCCCAGATAGATGACCTTCTGGAAGGCGTCCGTGATGGCAAAGAGCACACCGCCTCGGGGGCTGCTGGGCTTCACCCTCACGCTGATGGCGAAGTCCCTGAAGAAGGTGGATGGGATGAGGGTCCTGGCCGGACGCCCGACGTTGGCACCAGGCCCAAAGCTGTAGGCTGGGAAGCCACCGTAGCCGGTGACAAAGGACACGGATGACGGCAGCGGGACACCGATGAGCTCCGTGAGGTCCAGGTGGCCCTGGGCGGCCAGTCCTGCAGGCAGGGAGAGAAGAGGCCATGCTTCACACATACACTCTACTCTGCTTGGAAACAAGGAGGAAATATACTCAGGAAATGAAATGGGATCCTTCCAGAACCCCACTGCAGCATCTTAATCATTGTTTGTCAAACCTCTTTGACAATGACCCATAATAAGAAGTACATGTACATGGCCACCCAATATGCACGTTTAGACAAATATATATCTGTCACCCTGAAACAGATGTTTCATAAAACATTATTTGCTTTTAATACTCACCAGGTACTATGGTGTTTTCCTTTCCATTTAACAATTCTTCTTCTCTTGTATTTCATTAAAAAACATGCTGGAAACAACCTACTAAATTGATTTCATTACCCACGAACAAGCAGTTTGGAAAATATGTAAGAATATTCCTAGAATATTTCTACAATGTTCCCCCACATCAGCATAGGGATTTCCCCCCATTTCTCTCTGTAAAAGTGGGCAGGTTTGTTTTGTTGTGTTTTGAAGGAGGTCTACTGTTCAAGTGCCTCGGGATGTGGGGGAAAAGCAGGGACAAAATGAAGTGCTCCCAGATCTCAGGACAACTGAAATCTGCATCATTCTCACGCACGGTCAACTCCCTTTGTCACTGTCGTCATTATGACAGCATCACCCACATTCCCTGAGCTCTCATTTTTAGCAGGCTCTCAGCTCTTCACATACATTAGTTCATTTACTCCTCACAACAACGCTATGAGGCCAGGCACTACTATCCCCATTCTATCCCAGAGAGAACTTTTTGTGTTCAGTTGCTCAGTGGAGCCCCACTGCGACCCCATGGACTGCAGCCCACCAGGCTCCTCTGTCCACGGGATTTTCCAGGCAAGAACACTGGAGTGGGCTGCCATTTCCTACTCCAGGGCATCTTCTGAGCCCAGGGATGGAAACTGCATCACCTGTATTGGTAGCTGGATTCTTTACCACTAGCACCACCTGGGAAGCCCCAGAGAGAAATTAGAGAAGGCAAAAAATTTGCCCAAAGTAAGCCCATCAGAAGTCCAAAGCCAGAGCATCTGACTAAAGAGGTTGTGCTCTTCACCATCACCCCTTGCCGGGAGAAACATAGGGCTCCACTGTGGTGGCCTGGAAAGGACTTAGGCTCACAAGCCTTGAGCCACCCAACCACTATTCCCCGGGAGAAGGCTGCAGGCTGGCTTGCAGTGGCCTGCACCCACACGCACCTAGAGTGATGAGATAAGAATGCAGGCCCCAGGGAGAGGGGGACGGGAACCCTGAAGATGGACAATAGACACAAAGTGGATCTTGAAAAAAGGAATGTAAGATTGTCACTTTGTTTAATCTGTTTAGATTGATTACATGTTGAGATGATAATTTGGGGAAACTCTGAGCTATATAAAATATACTATTAACATTTTTAAGACAAGAATAACATGAGAAATAGGCATGGGCCCAGCACCCCACTTAAGAAAGGAAATATCAACTCAGCCGAAGCTCTCAGGAACTCTCTGATCCTTTCCCCCTGCCCATGCCCCAGAGGCAGCCACCCTAGGGGTCTGGTGTTTATCATCCCCACGCATGCCTTTGTGTGTTTACTCCGTGAGGATATGTCTCTAGCAGAACGCAGTACTGCAGTGCCTGTCTCCTAACCTCATAAGTGTTGGCAGGCTGCATGCATTCTGGCACTTCTTTTTCCCACTCAACATTGTATTTTTTGTGACTTATCCCTGTTGAGTGTGGCTCCAAGTCTCATGTTTTCACAGTAGTATTCTTTTTTTTTATTATTTCTAAAAGAGCTTTATTGAGACATAATTTACATATCATAAATTTCATGCATTTAAAATGCAGAATTCACTCTTTAATATATTCACAGTTTTGAAAGTATCACATGATCAAACTTTAAAACATTTTCATCATCTCCAAAAGATACCTTGAACCCCTTTAGCAGTCACTAGTAAACCACTCCACCTCCAGTCCTAGGCAATAACTAATTTCTTTCTCGCTTTAGATTTACCTATTTCAGATATTGCATTTGAAAGGAATCACATAATATGTGGCCTCTTGTGTCTGGCTTCTTTCACTTAGCAATGTCAGCACTTCACTCCTTGTTATGGCTGAATAATATTCCATTGCATGAATAGGCCACATTTTGTCTATACGTTCATCCATTGACAGCAGTATTCTATGTAAAAATAAGTCGCTGTGGATTACTTCACCTTTCTGCTGATGGAAAGTGAGGTTTCCCATCACTATTACAACCACTGCTGCTATGGACTTTCTTATTCACATCTCCTTGCACTTACCTGTGCAAATGAGTCCACCACTTAGGGGTGGAATTATTCAATGACATGGATGGACATTTGCACCTGTAACTTCACTGAGTATGGCTAAATTGCTCTCTTAAGCAACTGTGCCATTTAAAAAAACTGATATATAGCCAACAAATAACATTGTATAAGCTTAAGGTGAACAAAATGTTGATGTGATACCCTTATATATTGCAATACGATTACCGCTCTAGCATTAGTTAATGCCCACATCACATGCCATAATTATCATTTCTTTTTTGATGCAATTATCATCTTAATTATCATTAAGACGCAACTGTGCTATTTTACACACCCAGCAGAAGCATGTCCCTGCCAACATCTAGGGCAGGTACAGAGACAAGATTTGGGGAGCAGTCCACGGGGCTTTTCCACTACAGCCATGATGTTATTTCTTAAACTAGGTGATATTCGAAAGTATTCCTTGTGGTGTTCTCCGTCAAAAACTGTCATGGTAAATATTTCACAGAACTGAAGAAAATGATCATTGCATCTTCAGCAAAAGGGCCAGTCTGATCACGCTGAGGCCTTGATGAGAAGGCTTCTCTGCTCATCTGTGCTCTCCGTGTCCGCAGCGGCCTGGGCAGCCGGCTAAAGAGGCCTCCGTGGTCCAGGCCCAGCAGCACGCTGACTGCCCGGCCGCCCGACCATGTCCCTCCCATCCCCCGGGCCATCGCAGGCCCCTCCCCTCCGCGCCTCATCCCACTGCCTACTTCTACCAGAATAACTCCTCATTCTTTATCCCCGCCCCGAAATCCCTTGTTTCACCTCCTGACCTACAGCCTCCTCCTTCGAAACACACCAGGGTCCCCCACTCTCAGCCCCGTTGGGTCACTGGTCTCTCTCCCCACTGGACCACACCATTCATCTCTATGTTCCCGCACCCAGCTCAGTGCTGAGAAATGAATGAATGAAAAAAAAAAAAAGAACAAATAAATGAAATTCAACCTCTTCAGTCTACAGAAAGAAGGCAAAACTGAGGTTAAAAGAGGAAAGGGGTTTGGCAATTATAAACAGACCTGAGTCTCAATCCAATCCTTTTTCTGTCCACTTTGCAATTTGCACTAAAACAGAAAGTAAAGTATAGCAGACCCAAGAAGGCAGAAATAAGAAGATTCATAAATTTGGTTAAATTTAATGACACACAAATTTCTAAAGTTCTGCATAGCAAAAATAAATTCCCATAGTGTCAAATAAAATCCCAACCTGGACAAAAATATTTGCTGTGTATGTCACAGACAACAAACAAATTACCTTAATACACAAAACAAATGAATAAGCAGGAGGCCAATAATCCAAAGATACTGGGAATGAATGAAGGAGGGAGAAGGGGACGACAGAGGATGAGACCATTGGACAGCATCACTGATTCAATGGACAGGAGTTTGAGCAAGCTCCAGGAGGCGGTGAAGGACAGGGAAACCTGGTGAGCTGCCGTCCATGGCATCGCAAAGAGTGGGACATGACTGAGCGACTGAAAAACAACAAAATAATCCACAAGAAAAAACAGGCAAAGAATAGAAAATGCTTTCCACAGTAAAAGGGAAAAAAATGGCTATTAAACATATGAACAGATACTTAGCCTCATTCAGAACAAGAAAGATACAAGGTAAGATTATGAAGAGACAGCATTTTCCCTATCAGACTGGCAAAGATCAAAACATTGCATAATATTCTGTTTAGCAAGGGTTTGCGGGAACAGGCTATTGCATGCACTGCTGGTAGAAGTGTAAAGTGGATAACATCTGTGGGAGGAGCACTTTCACCATATTTATCAAAATTAAAAGTGCATATGTACTCTTTGACGCAGCGGTTATACTTCTATGAATTTTTAAAACAGATAAAGTTATATATGTGACATATAAAGAGCTTACAAGAACATCCATTGCAGCGTTGTTTAAAATGTATCTGAACATATCTAAGCCATTCCATCTTGGAATTCTTGGGGAATGGTTAAATAAATCCTAACTTTTGTTATACTCACACAATAAAATCCAATGCAGCCTTTATTTATTTTTAAAACATATTTATTTATTCGGCTCCCTCAGGTCTTAGTTGATCACACTTAGCGGTGCTCTGCCATTCGGGACCTCGGTTCCCTAATTAAGGGCTCAACCCACAATCCCCGCACCGCAAGGCAGATCCTTAACCACTGGACCCCCAGGGAAGTCCGCTTGTGAAGCCTGTAAAAAGGTGTGATTCCTTAGGTATTAATATGAAACAAGAAGAGCCGACTCATTGGGAAAGACCCTGATGCTGGGAAAGATGGAGGGCAGGAGGAGAAGGGAGCGATGGAAGATGGCATCCTTGACTCAATGGACATGAACCTGAGCAAACTCCGGGAAACAGCGAAGGACAGGGAAGCCTGGCAAGCTGCAGTCCACAGGGTCACAAAGAGCCAGACACAGCTGAGCAACTGAACAACATCAAGATGTATTAACTAGAAACAAACAGAAAAACAAAGGGCAGAACAGAACTGCTATCCACTGAAGTACACATAGGAACACATATTAAATACATAAAACATATACTAGAATATCTCTAGAAAGATACACAAGAAGCTGAGGCCAGAGTCTGCCTCCAGGGAAGGAAGCTGGTGGCTGGCTGACAACAGGAGACTTTCTTCTCACTGGAAGTTCTTTTCTACTTTTTGAATTTTACCTTAAATACAAGATGTGAAAAATAGACATTTACATATTTTTAAAGATATTAACTCTTTACATCCTCTTTCAGAAAGTACAAAATCTTTTCTTCATGTTTTTACTCACTCAAAGAGAGCCCATTTCTGTATAGAAAGGGGAAAAGAGTGAAAAGAAAAGAAACAGAAATAAGAGCAAGCACCCCACTGAGATTTCTTTTCTCCCCTCCACGGTTTAAAGATAAAAACCAGATAAAAGCATGAGTACCCTGCTGACAGCTTTGCTTTCTTCTCCATCTGATCCAGGGAACGCTTTTCCTCCAGCTCGTATCTCTCTCCTGCTGAGAAGGGGAGAGGAAGCCCCTTTCCAGTGGGATGCGTGGTTGGCAGAACGTGTGCTCCCACAGGGGGCATCTGACCCAGGCCTCTCATCCAGAGGCTCGTTTCTAAGTGGTGTCCCAAGGGCTCAAGGGACAGGTGAGGGTCCCGGGGACTCCGGGACAGGGGTTGAGAGCTTCCCACCCAGAAGCCTGCTTAAACCAGCCCAGTGCTGCCATGTAAAGCCGTAAAGCCCAGGCTTCCACACGGCCATTTGGGGAATTCTTAGTTCCAGGAGGATTCTGCTTCAGGAAAAAAAATAAAAAATCCCCCATCTAGCCAACCTCACTATTGTATAGACAGGGACATAACGGCCAAGGAGAGAGTTTCGTGACCAGGACTCACATCCAGGAAGTGACAGGTGGAGCAGAGAAGCGAGAACGGCAGAGGGGAGATGCGATTCTGCCTGGGGGCGACTCGGAGCGGCAGCTGTCCGCAGCTGGTGCCCCCCACGCCCCCTGGACTGCCCGAGCCACGCACGGCACAGGCCACCGGTGGGCCAGCTCGAGAGCGGACGGAAGAGGCTGCTGTAGAGACCTGCCTTGGCGCTGGACGGAGCTGGGTTCAGAGCCAGCCTGTGCCAGTTACCAAGTGGGCAGCTGCTGGGTGGGTAACTTGCTGGTGATGTAGGAATGTCCCACCCGTCTCACACACGGGGACCAAACGAGATGGTGGAGGAAAAGTACCAGTGTCAACCAAGAGTAGAAACTGGTCTTCTGCTTACTGATCACAGGACTCTCCAGCCTCGGGAACCTTGGGGCCCTTCGTGGGAGGGTGCCTCACTTCTCCACAGATAACTGCCTGTCTCACAGGACATCTGACCTCAGTCTTAATCTCACTTCATTAATGCATAGGGATAGCTTCATTTCTGGGCTTCCCAGGCGGCACTAGTGGTGAAGAACTCACCTGCCAATGCAGGAGATGCAGGAGATGTGGGTTCGATCCCTGGGTTAGGAAGATGCCCTGGAGGAGGGCATGGCAACCGACCCCAGTGTTCTTGGCTGGAGAATCCCGTGGACAGAGGAGCCTGGTGGGCAACGTCCACAGGGGTGGAGAGAGTCAGACATGACTGAGCGACTTAGCACACACACAGGGCTTCATTTCAATGGGGGTTCTTCACCCCACCTTTCCATTCGTGAATTTGATAACATTTGTGAAGACCGCACATCATGCCTTGTGTGCAGGTGGGGATGTGGAACTGAAACCAGAATGCAGGCTCTCAAGGAGCTCCTGATCCAGACGTCTCTGTTAGCAGTCATCCATTTACGCTACTCACAAACTCCAGAGCCTTCAGTGCCTCCCCAGCACCTTCAGAATCAAGTCAAAATTCCACTCAAAACACCTTCGGATCCACCTCTTCATTCCCCCCCTTTTCCTGTTCGGGTCTTGGCTCACGCTGTTCCTTCCATCGGTGACACCTTCCCCTATCTTTTCACAGCTGAATCTAAGCTCACTCAACTGCACCCCAAGACCCCGGAGCTTCCCTCCTACCCTACAGGCAGAGCCACAGGCATGACTCCCCCATTCAAATACCCACTTGAGAGCTGGGCAGAGAGCAGGCGCTCAGCGCTGTGGCCTGAGGAGAGGGGACAGACAGATGCCACGGGGCCCCACTCTCCTCAAGCCTGTGGTTTGGGCACCGGAGCACAACTCTGCGGCAGCCCCTCCCGAGGGCACCGGGAAGAGGAACCAGACGGCTTCAGAGGCGGGCTGGGCAGAGGAAAATCTGAACAGTCACCACATGCTGCAACTTTCCTCCCAGGGGCCCAAAGCTGGTTTCCATGGAAACTGGACAGAATCCTAGTGATGAAGAAACCAGCAGGGCAGGGTTCAGGTTTTCTTTCCACCGAGACGACAGTGACCAGAGGCCCGCGGGGGTGAAGAGCTGGAGCCCGTCCCTCTCCTCCTGCCCAGGACAGCTAACGCCGCTCTGCCCCCAGCGGGCCTGTTTCTCCCTCTGTGTAATGGGCTGGCTCCGCCCTTCCATCTGTGGGGTCCTGAGGCAGTGCCTGGGGTGAGCCTGGGCTATGGAGCTTTGCCGCCTTAGGGAACCGGATCTGGCTTTGCACAGCTCCAGCTCCATCTCACAGATGAGGATCTGGGACCCGAGCCCAGAGTTCATGCTTGTCAGCCCCAAGGGACCGAGGAGCGTTCCTCCGCTCTGGGTCAAGGAGGGCTGCAGGGAAGCCAGGCCGGCAGGCTGAGGACACGTCCGGAACGCGCGCGGCAGCGGCCCCCGGTGGCCGCACGGAGAACTGCGCCCATGAAACGCAAGACCGGCTTCCCGGGCTGCCGCTGAGAGGGACGCGGCCTGGGCCTGGGGAAACTGAGAGACTGCGGCCCCAGCGATAGACTCAGAGTCAGGTCTGGAAGCGCCCCGGGAGAGCAGGCCTGAACGGTGGCGAACGGTGGGCAAGCCAGGACTAGAGCCCAGTGCCTCCCTCCCACCCTCTGCTCCTTTCCTACCCCGGTCGTCTGGGGTGTATCCTACATCCCATTTCCACCAGCCGCGGTGAGGACTGCAGAACGCTGCAGTCAGCTTAAACAGCCACTCACTGACTCCTCCTGCTCCCACTGCGGCCGGCACAGGGTCCAGATGACCCCAGGATACTGGGGCCGGCAGGCTAAGTATGTACAGGTAAAGCGTGCGACACGGCC